GCTGGCCTCTTGAATTCAATTTGTAGCCCAGGCTGGCCTCAAACTTGATGGGATCCTCCTGCCTCAGCCTCCCAAGTGCTGGGATTACAAGTGTGCACCACCATCCCTTGCTAAGTCTTTGTGCGTTTTAAAAAATTGAGTTTGTGTGAACTCTGTTACATTTTGAGAGTTCTTCTTGTATTCTGGATTAAAGACCAACGTCAGCTGTATGATTTGCACATATCTCTGTCTGTAACTTTTTCTTTTTTTTGACAGTACTGGGAATCAAACCTAGAGCCTTGCTTGTGCTGGGTAAGGTGCTATGCCATTGAGCTATAACCCTAGTGGTCTTTTCATTTTCTTAACAGTGTTTTTATGGTGTGAAAGTTTGTAGTTTTTTTTGTTGTTGTTCTTATAAACATTTATTTTCCTCCAAATTTTTTGTGTTTTTCTGTAGTATCAAAAGAGTTTGTTTTCCTTTTCCCAAGTGTTGAAGTTCAAAGTCAGGTCTTGACCACAGACTAATTGTGATCTCAATGTCTTGTATGTTGATTTAGTTTTATATGTATTTATATTAGTTTTCTTCAAGGTTATCTATCTATCTATCTAGATAGATAGATCCTACACAGATATATATATCCTACACAGAATATATCCTACACAGATACATATATCCTACACAGAATATATATATATTCCTACACAGATACGTACAAGCTTTTTATCCTCATTTTACCACTTGAGAATACAACTTTTAAGAATGTTTTACACAGCTGTTTCTTGGTGAAGGTCATTTGCAAGCAAGTTGGTTTCCGAAGAAATCTAGTTTGGTAGGTGAAGGATCCATTGAGGGGTTCTCATTAGTTTTTTCCATACATTCTGATCCATTGGACTTCTTTTTGAAGAGCTTGTGGAAGGAGCTGCGAAAGCCCCTTTTCTGGTCCTGCCTGGGATTTTGATTGCTGAAAGATGTTTGTTCACTTTCTCTTTTTTTCCTTTGGACAGAAGTGGGTGGTGTCTTCTAAATGCATTTCTTCCAGGTAGGTCTGCTTTTCACTTTGGGATCTCTGTTGAGGAAAGAAGGTTGTGGTGTACCACTGGTAGAGGTGGTGGCAGTGGTGGCCTTGGCCAAAAGTCTGTAATTTTATGAGACCCAATTTTTTCTTTTTTTTTCTTTCATAGATTGTGCCTTTTGTTAGAACTGTTTGCTTACCTCTTGTAAAGGTTTTGTCCGGTGTCTTCCAAAAGTTCTGTTGTTGTATATTTTATCTTTAGATCTGTGATCCATTTGAGATAATGTGTACATAAGGTAGGAGGTTTTGGATGAGTTTTTTAACTTTTATGATATACATTGAGTTATTCATAATATCCTTTCAGTATTTAGTGGTATCCTTTTTCGTTCCTAATACTGGTAGTTCATGTTTTTCTTATTTTTCTTTTAGTTTTGTCTGGCCAGAGATTTATCAGTTTTATTAAGCTTTTCAGAGAAGCAGCTTTTGGGTTCATTGACATGCTCTGTTGTTTTTGTTTTAAATTTTTTTCTATTTTTCCCCCCAGGTGTTAGGGATTGATATATTTTCTGTTTGACCCATGAATTATTTAGGAATGTGTTGTTTAATTTCCAGGTACTTAAAATTTTTTCTGGGTAGCTCTCTTACTGATTTCTGGTTTAGTTCCATTATGTTCAGATTTCATACTTTGTTTTATTTCTAGTTCACTTAATTTTTTTATGACCCTGGACATGATATGTCTTGGTGAATATTCTCTACACAGTTGAGAATGTGTAGTCTTTTGGTTGGGGTGTTCTATAAATGTTGATTAGATCTGGTATTTGGTAGTGATGTTGAGGTCTTTTGTATCCTTGCTGATACGTTGCTGGTTATGTAAGTCCTGAGGGAGGCAGTTGAAGTTTGTTTTTTCCTTCATGTGGTGCTGAGGACAGAACTCAACTCTTAAGTGTGCTAGGCAGATACTCTACCACTGAGCTGCACCCCCAACCTTTTTGGTTGGTTTTGACTTGTTTTAATGGCCATAGACTTCTTGTTCTCTGTGAACTAAGTTTGTGTTACGGATAAAATTCTTCTGAAAGTAGACTCACTGGGCTTTGGATAGTCAATAATTGATTTTACATTTATTTCTTGGTTTGTTTTTTTGAGGGTCTCACTATTTAGTTTAGGCTGGCCTTGAATTCACTGTAGCCCAGGTTGGCTTCAAACTTACAGTGATCCTCCTGCCTCAGCCTCATGAGTGCTGGGATTACAGATGTGTGCCACCACTCCTGGCTACATTTAGTTCTTAATTATTGACATCTGTAATAACTTTATACTTTTTTAGTTATATTTCACCATGGATCTGCTATAAATGCAGGGTATGATTTTATTTACTATTAAATGTTTTATAAATCAGTATAGGCATTTGTGGTTATTGTGAAAGGAGAAATGGTCCTGTCAGTGGACCTTTAATATAACTCCTATGCTTTTTATTTATAAAAAAATGTAAAGGATTTAAATGCCTTGTTTACTCCTGAAACTTCAATTCCTAAAATGTCTGAAGTATTCCAAGAACACTAACCTTGGAGGTTTTTGTTTGTTTGTTTGCTTTTTGTCTTTTTGAGACAGGGTCTTGCTATGCCGTTCAGGCTGGCCTTGAGCTCACTTTGTAGCCCAGGCTGGTTTCGAATTTGCAACGATCTTTCTGCCTCAGCTTCCCAAGTACTGAGATTACAGGTGTGTGCCACCACACCCGGCCTAACTTTGGAGTTTTTAAGACCTAGTTCAAGTGCTAGCTCTATCAGCTGTTACTTTTGTAATCCTGAGTAAGTTGCATAGTTGTCTTGAGATTAAGTTTCTTAATAGGCAAAATGCAGGTAATGATATGTACCCTTACTTCAGGATGCGGCAAGTGACAAATGAGAACTAATATATATGTACTTTGTAAATTTCATTTTTTTATAGATTTAAAAGAAAAATTTTATTATTGTCAATTTATATGATTATTTCTATAGAAAGGTGTGTGTAAACTCTTTATTAGTAGTGAAAAAGTTTAACAAATTTGCTTAATAGAAGAATAACAGTAAAAGATAATTTTTAATGCTAATATATTAACAATAAATAAATACATCATACATAGTTTTGAAATCACCATTTTTACAAAGGAATAAAACTGTGAAGTGAGTGAGAGTATAAAAAGTTCCTTTACAGTGGGGAACTGTCCATTTCTTTTATTTTTTAAATTTATTTTAAAAATAAAAGAAGGAAAGCATTAACAAACAGACATCCATTACAAAATAGCATAAGAACAAAACAAGCAATACTGAATTACAAAGTGGTAGGAAGGTAACAATGGTTGCTGTATTACATATTGATATCTTCAAAGTGGTTTCTCAGGAAAACAAATATAGACATGCAAGACTGATCAAATAATTAATCATTAACTGTTCCTTTCAGTAAAGCGATAGAAGTCAGTAGTGCAGCTATGTTAGCTATCCTGTATATACATGTATACATAATTTCCCCTTCTTTCTTTTCTCTTTGCCCTCACCCCAGTTGCTCTTTACTTTTGAGCATTTTCTTTTCGTTTCACAATGTCTATCATACCTCCTAATTCTTATTCACTCTTTCAGGTTGTTACACTAGTGAGACAATACATTGCTTACACATGGAGGTCTGGTTTATTTCACTTATGAGTATGTCTCTAGTTGTGACCATTTTACCTGCAAAAGCTTTGAGTTTATCTTTCTTTATAGCTGAGTAATATTCCATTATATAAAAATACCACAATTTTTTTATCCATTCCTCAGTGGATGGACATTTGGGTTGCTTCCACAATTTAGCAATTACAAATTGCGCTGCTATAAACATAGGAGCATATATATCACTGTGATACGTTGTTTTCAGATCTTCTGAGACAATACCCTAAAGGGGAATAGCTGGGTTGAATGGGACCTCTAGACCTAGTTTGCTGAGGAGTCTCCAAACTGATTTCCACAGTGGTTTCAGCAGTCTGCATTCCCACCAGCAGTGGAGAAGAGTTCCTATTTCTCCACAGCCTTGCCAACATTTGTTATTGGTTGATTTCTTAATGCTAGCCGTTCTTAGTGGGGTGAGATGAAATCTCAATGTTGTTTTAATGTGCATTTCTCGAATGACTAATGATGTTGAACATTTTCTCATGTATTTATTTGCCATTTGTATTTCTTTATCTGAGAAATGTGTATTCATCTCAGATGCCCATTTTTGGATTGGGTCTTTGAATTTGTGGGGGGGGCTGATGTTTTTTAATTCTTTATGTTCTAGATAGAAGACCTTTGTCCGAGGGACAGTGAGCTAAAATTTTTTCCCAATGTGTGGGTTTTCTTTTTACTCTGCTGGTGATTTCTTTTGTATGTTTTAATTTACTTTTTTTTTTTTTGTGATACAGAGAATAGAAACCCAAAGCCTCAGGGATGCTCTGCCACTGAGTTATATTCCCAACCCCAGGTTTTCCCCTTTATTTTTAAATTTTGAGGCAGGGTCTTGTTATGTTGTTTAGGCTGGCCTTACACATTTGATTCTCCTGTCTCAGCCTCCTAAGTAGCTGGAATTACAGATATGTACCACTATGCCTGGCCTTATTTTGCTTAATTTAATAATTCAAGCCGAGCATAGTGGCGCACGCCTGTAATCCCAGCACTCGGGAGGGTGAGGCAGGAGGATTGTTGCAAGTTTGAGACCAGCCTGGGCTACAAAGTGAGCTCAGGGCCAACCTGAACTGCATAGTGAGACCCTGTCTCAAAAAGACAAAAAAATAAAAAAATTAAAAATAATTTAATAATTCACCTTTTTTGTTACTTTTAAGAAATTTACATAGTTGAGGAGTTTGCATGTAATACTTTTGCTGAAGCTTAGCAAGCTTTGTTTAATTTACAAAACTGGATTTATCAAGTCTGAATTTATCAGTCAGAATTTTTTTGTGGGAAGTTGTTGATTGGTTTTAGTAGCAAAAAATGTGAACATCTCTATTTAATATCTTTCCATGTCCAGAGGATGCCAGCCCCCATCAGATTGCGGGAGCTGATCCGGACCATCCGGACAGCCCGAACCCAAGCTGAAGAACGAGAAATGATCCAGAAAGAATGTGCTGCAATCCGGTCATCATTTAGAGAAGAAGATAATACATACCGGTGTCGGAATGTGGCTAAATTACTATATATGCATATGCTGGGCTACCCTGCTCACTTTGGACAGGTAGGCTGGGCTGAGACCACATCTGGCAAGGATGCTTTTCTTTGAATAATAACACTGTGGCTCAGAGGATGTCAGTCTTTTCCTAACAGGGAGGGAGATACATTTGATATCTTTGTAGTTTGCATTTGGTCATTGTGGCACTAAGGCCATAACTGAGAGGGCAGGCTGCAGACTGGGGAAGGCATGATCCTGCCTTATGAAAAACTCACGACAGGTGTTTCTAAGGTAAAGAAATTAAGTGGTTGCTATGTAGTAGTAGCATCTATTTTGTCCTAATTACCTCATTCCTTAATTGCTACAACTTCTATGCAGTGCAGGTCTACCTGCTGATTCTGTCCCTCCCACAAATGTATACACACACACACACACACACACACACACACGTGCTTTTTCATTATCTACTGAAATAATTATGACATTTCAGTAATCTAATGTATATATATTTATATCCAAATGTGTGTGTGTGTGTGTATATATATATCCTGCCTACTATACTGTATTATTTGTGTACAAGAGCATCCCTTCCATCAGTGTAGTACTGTATAGCACTCTGCTTATTGCATTTGAATCTGAGTCTCTGTAGACCCTATTGTTTCCACATCATAAATACTATTGTCTTCAAATAGTAGTAGTCATCTCTTCCTTTTCCATCCTTACACATTTTATTTTCTTACTATACTCTAATGCTTTTAAAAAAGAAGTAGCAAAAAGAAACAGTAATAGTAGTCATCCTTGTCTTACTACAACTTTAAATGCTGTACATATTCTGATTAGATGTGGTTCAGGTTTTAGGTAGATACTCTTTATCCCACAAAGGTGCTTTTTCATAATCTACTGAAATAATTATGATATTTCAGTATTCTAATGCTACATTTTCCTTTGCATGTTAGAAATAAACTTTACTTGGTCATGATGTGGTTTTTTTTTTTTTTTCTTTTATGCTACTGTATTTGCCTACTATTTTAACTTGTATGTTATGTTTAAAAAAGTACCTAAGCTTATTCTGCCAGATTGTGGTCTCTGAATACTACCTCACTTTAAAAGGACCAGGACCCATTACAATGGGGACAGACCCAGGGTAAAAAATGTACAAAATAAGCTTAAAATATTTGACTTTGCCAGAAAGCAAGAAAGACTACAAAAGTCATGCCAGAGGTTTTAGAAGTTATAAGAAAAGGCAGCTGTTCTCAGAGTGAGGTTATTTTAATATTAATAGAATAATGTGATTGATTAAAATGTACGAAGCAAATTTGTCTTTTTGGGGAGTGCAGAGGATGCTAAGCACATGCTTTACCATTGAGGTGCATATCTAAACAAAAGTTTTAAAATTTCATTGTTCGTCTTTGAGTGATGTTAGAGAACTAACTCATTATTTTGAAAACTGTTACTGGAAGGAAAGAAACATTTATCTTTACTTTCCTTGCCAGTGTTTCTTCTGAAGGAGTTATTGGTAACCCATTGCTAACAGAGAAGTTATACTTTTTTTTTTGTCTTTTTGAGACAGAGTTTCGCTATGCAATTCATGCTGGCCTTGAGCTCACTTTGTAGCCTAGGCTGGCCTTGAACTCTCAGCGATCTTCGTGCCTCAGCCTGCCAAGTGCTGGGATTATAGGCATGTGCCACCATGCCCAGTTTTACCAGAAAGAATTATATGCCTGTTGATGAAAGCTCATACCCACCACCTGAACAGTGATATATAAAATAAAAAATATAAAATGATATACCAAAATATATAAAAGTGATATATAAAGTGATACTCAAAATCAAATCAAAACAAACCAAAAACTAAAAAACCTAAATCTGATTAAGCTTTCTTATGTTTATAAATGAGATAGGGTAGAAAGAGATGTATAAAGCAGTGTTCATTTCAGTGTTTCTAATAGTAAAACGTTGAAAATAATAGTCTTCAAAGAGTAGGTAACTTTATATTCACAAGTGGTACACCACATACACATGCACGGTGATCAAACCTATGTGGAATGTTTAAAATATTTATTACAGTAAAGGACACAATCCCTATATTCCCCCGTGCTTTGGACACATCCCATTGCTCATGCCACTTCCTTTTTTTAATTTTTCTTTGAGACAGCCGATGTAGCCCTGGCTGGCCTCCATCTCACATCAGTCCTCCTTCCTTAGCCTCCCAAGTGCTGGGATTGCAGGAGTGGTGGCTCATGTCACTTTCTGGAGGAGTTCTGGAAGTTCTCTTTTGTGTCTTTATGAGGGGTGATGAAAAATACAGTGAATGCTGCTGTCAGATCTGGCACCATGTGACTGCTGGCTCTTTCCCAAAGTCAAAATGACAGTGAGGCAGCCATGACAGTGCAACTCATAAAAAGACCTTCTAGAACTGCTTCAGAAAATGCTAAGAGCAGTAGGAGATAAGTGTGTTGGGGGTATGGTATTTTGAGATTAGTGGAATGACTTTTACTTAATACATTTAAAAGAAAAAAAATTTTTTTGAACATTCACTATTTTTTTATTATATCAGGGAAAGAATAAACATACGACTCTATTAAAGCTTATGTTGATGTGAATAATACTCATAAAGAGCAGGAATATGATATTTATATAAAGTTTGTAATGTTCCAAATCATTTTTTTCTCCACATGGATAGTAAAAACATAAGGTTATTTCAGTCATGAATGATAGTTTTGGAATTTGGAGAAAAGGGAAGTAGGATTAAGGCAATAATATGTAGAGGGCTTCAACTGAATTTGTAATACTAAAAATTTTTAAATTAAATATGATAAAATGTTAAGATTTGATAAAGCTGATTGGTAGATTGGTGATATGTAGTTATTTTGTATTTTGAGTGAAATATTTCACAATAAGTGTTCTCAAGAAGAAAAAAGTGGGATTCAGTAGAACTATTAGGTATTTTTGGAGTTTTTTTTTGCCTTCCAGAAAGAGGAAAAAACAAACTCTGGTCTATAGAGATTTTATGTTACCTGGCTACATAGTGATAAATTACAACAAGGTGTTTTTTTTTGTTTTTTTTTTTTTTGTCTTTTTGAGACAGTCTCACTACACAGTTCAGGCTGGCCATGAACTTACTTTGTAGCCCAGGCTGGTCTCACACTTGTAATGATCCTCCTGCCTCAGCCTCTGGAGTGCTGGGATTACAGGTGTGTGCCACCAGACCTGGCCCTCTAACAAGGTTTTTTTTTTTTTAAGTTTGAATGAAGAAGAAAGTTATTTCCAAATAGTAAGGTGAAATAAAAGTAGTTTTTTTAAAAGACCTAACCAATCACTTATAGATTGACCACATCATAAAACTCCATTGTTACATTTAAAAGCAGGTGCATATGTGGATTTGACCTTGTGTGAACTATTCTAAAAGCTAACAGAACAGGAGCAACTTTTTGCTAAGGGCAACCAGATTAAACATTGATGAGAGGCAACTAAGGTCCTTGCTTCAGGAAAATGTAACAAGGTCAGAAACATGATAGTTTTCTTTTAAAAAATTGATTTGATATTTGAAAAGAATTGGAGCATTAGAAGTCATCTAGAAAAATTCTGTTTTTTTTTTTCTACAAAAATTGTGTAACAATTAGAAATTGTCAGTCTCTACCCCTAATCTCCTCCATTGGAATTTTCTGGGAGTGACTTGTTTTTGTGTTTTTTTTTTTTCAAAATTCTCCCAGGTGATTTTTGACCTGTCTGCTTTGGGAACCCCTTCTAGCAAGGCCCTGTATTTGTTTCAGTACCTTTAATCTCTTAGACTTGTTGCTAATGATCAACTAGCATGCTTCTGCTGAGGATTCTAAGGCCACTTCTGGAATCCACTGCTTAGAATAGTGACTGTCCTGATGGTGTGGGGTGGAGACACATTATTAAGGGCTGTCTTCCCTTTTGGCTCAGTTACCCTAGTGATGCAGAACAGAAGCCTAGGTTGTTAAATAGCTTGTTTAAGATCTCTAGATAGATGGAGAGGTTGAGCTCCTAATTGCCTTTCTCTGAAGTTTTCCTTCTGTTCCTGACCTAAACTGGATACCCTTCCTCACTTGTTTTCATAGTATCATGTGCATAAGTGTGATGTATATTTATTATTTGTGGATGGCTAATGTTGGTTTTCTTATGTATACTGTTAAAATGGTGTATCAGTGAGAATGCCTGGCACATACATTGTTTGGTACACCAGTTTACTAAATTAAAGCGAAATGTCTGTTTAGGGGTCAAGCTGGTGGTACACAGTGGAGCTTCATGATTGCTAGTAAATATAAAACAAATTTGAGAGTAGGAAAGAGATCATCTCAGTCCTTTGGGACGTAGAGGAGAGAGAGAAAGAGAAATTGATAGATGAAGAATATAACTGTGAGGGGCTGGGGATTTAGCTCAGCGGCAAAAGCGCCTGCCTGGCAAGTGCAAGGTCGTGAGTTCGGTTTCCGGTACCAGAGAAAAACCAAAAAAAAAAAAAAAAAAAAAATAACTGTGAGCAGAAAAACCTAGCATTTGGCGGGTAAGTGATTAGGAACAAACATACATTTTTAACAGTCTCCTACTGGCATCCAGAGAAGTTAAAAATAGCTTAATACAGTACTTGTTCTGTGTGAATTTAGGTTATTGAAAGGCTGAGCCCCCCCCTTCCATTTATTAGAGTTGTGTTTTCCTAAGAGTCTAGTAGTCTACATAAAACTACTCTAACACTCAACTGCTGTTTTTTTTTAAATATATGGTGTTCACCTTTGCAGGGGGAAATAGTTTTTGTTTTTTTTTTTTTAAATAGTGTATTAGCTTTTATAGCCATAAGACCCTTCTGCCTGCAGTTTTCATATGATTTCCTTCTAGTCCGTTATTATTTTCCTTTGGAATAGATAATGGTAGTTAATCAATTCTAAATTTTATTTTATTGGTTTTTTGAGACAGGGTCTCACTGTATTGCCCAGGCTGGCCTCTCACTAGTGATTCCTACCTCAGTCTCCCAAGTGGTAGGATTACATGTGTGTCTCCCAAGTGGTAGGATTACATGTGTGTGCCACCACACGTGGCTGATTTTAAATTTGAAAGATACTAAAGATACCGAAGGATTCATGATAAAACACTTCTATGTTTGTCTTCCGGTCACTTAGTTTCTCTATAGACAACCGATGGTGTCAGCTTGTTGAATATCCTTCCAGAGATACATTATGCTTCTACAACCTGTTTCAACATACTGTTTGCAATTTTCATTCATAATCTGTCCTGAAGACCAGTATTTAAGACCTCCCTCAGAGCTACTCTTGGTGGCCTATACCTTAATCCCAGCAGCAGGCTGAGATAAGAGGATTGTGTTTGAGGCCAGCCTAGGCAACTTAGTGAGACCCTGTCTCAAAAAAAAACAAAATAAAGCAAAACGAAACACCAAAACCTTTTCTTCTCCTCCTCCTACCCCTCTCCTTCCTCTCCCTGCCTTTCCCCCTCTCCCCTCCCCCTTCTTCTTTCTCCTCCTCCCCTCTCCCCCCTTTCTCTCTTTTTTTTTTGAGACAGTTTCTTGCTGTGTAGTTCAGGCTGACCTTGAATTCATAGCAGTCTTCCTGCCTCATCCTCCCATGTGGTGGAACTACAGGCTTGTGCTGCTGCACCTGGCTAAGAGAGTCATTTTTTTGCAGGTTCTTTGACATGCTGATGGTAGTATATTTAGCATAATATTCTGTTACATGTATGAGTCATAATTTATTAAACTACTACCTTAGTAATGGACACTTATCTCCAGTCTTGCTGTTTTAAACACTGCAGTTGAATAATACTACTATTTTCCACAAATGTGAGTATAAGTGTAGTATAATTTTTTAAAAAGAGAATTGCTGAGTCATCTTATATAAATTTGTAATTTAGATAGTTCAGTTCTTTCTATAGCTTGTGCCAGTTAATACTGCCATCTCTTAATCTTTATACTGTTATAAAAATATCTCTGGTTTTGGTTTTTATTTCTTTTTAAATAACTTTATTGATATATATTTTGCAAATCATGTTAACTCATGTATTTCAAGATCCATTTCAGTGGGTTTTTTGTGTAAATTTACTTACTTGAATTTGCTTTTTTTTTTTTTTTTTTGGTACTGGGAATCGAACTCAGGACCTTGTGCTTGCTGGGCAGACACTTGTGCCACTGAGCTGTGTCCCCAGCCCTGCATTTGTTTTATGAAAGTTTGATTTCCATTTCTATTTTTGTTTTCTATGAGCTGTTTGGCCTAATGGTTTTCCATTCTTATAATGCACCATTGGTATTTTTAAAAAGGAGTTTGACTGGGTGTAATGGCATGTGCCTATAATCCCAGCTTCTCAAGAGGCCAAGGCAGGAGATTGCATGTTCAAGGCTAGCCTGGGCAATTTAGTGAGACCCTGTCTCAAAATAAAGAAAGGGATGGCGATACAGCCTACTTCTCCCTGGGTTCAGTCACCAGTATGGGGGAAAATCAGTTTGTAGGAACCTATTATATAGGATCTCACATCTATAAAATGACTTGTAAATATTTTTGCCAAGGTTGTCATATGTCTTTTTTTTGAGGTGGGGGAGTACCGGGAATTGAATATAGGACCTCGTGCTTGTCAGGCAGGCGCTGTGCCACTGAGCTGTATCTCTGGCCTCATTTGTCTTTTGACTTTGCTCATAGAGTATAGAGTAAAAGTAAGTTTTCTGTTAACTTGGTGGGTTATGAAAATAAAAATGGGACTGTTACTGTGCTTTAAAAGAGCCTGCCATATGTGTTAGAAATGTTTTGGGTGGGCTTTTTTTAATGATTTTCGTGTCATACCAGGGATTGAACACAAGCTAAGGCAGCACTATACCACTAAACTGTATCTCCTGCCCTTTCTAAAAATTTTACTTAGGGTCTCTAAATTGCCTACTCTGGCCTCAAACTTGTGATCCTCCTGTCCCAGCTTCCTGAGTTGCTAGGATTACAGGTGTACACCCATCGCATCCAGTGGTTTTTCAAGTGGCTTTAACTGGATTAATACTACTTGGTGAAATTGAGATTTTGACCTAGGGAGCAGATATGTTTAATTGATCGGGTTTTTTTCCCCTTCTGTTCTTTAGTCATGCAGTAAATAGTGAGGAATTGTATCTTTTTGGAGATTACTACTTAAAAATAGATGTTTTGCTCTCACATGCTGGTCCTTCTTATGATATCTCTATCCCCCAATGTTGATGTTTCCTTTTCAAAATTTGAAAACTTAAGTAATGTTCTCAAAGGTGAAACATGGTACATTCTCTGTACTGTTGCTGGCCACCAATGTGTGATGTTTGGTTAGAAATAATTCTTCCCTGAAGGGTATATTTCAGATACCATCTCTAGCTGTGTAATCTTATATTTTTCCTTAAATTTGTCAACATCAAAAAAAATTTGCTTCTTCTTGAAACAGAGTCACTGTATAAATAGAGGATATTGTAAAGAATTAATTAATTATTTTTTGTCTTTTTGAGATAGGATTTTGCTATGCAGTTCAGGCTGGCCTTGAGCTTACTTTGTAGCCCAGGCTGGTCTTGAACTCACAAAGATCTTCCTGCCTCAGCCTCGCAAGTGCTGGGCTTAGAGGTGTGTGCAACCGTGCCTGGCTAAATAATTAATTTTTTTTTGGGGGGGGGTTGGTTTTTCTCCCGTACCAGGAACCGAACTCACGACCTTGCGCTTGCCAGGCAGGCGCTTTTGCCGCTGAGCTAAATCCCCAGCCCCTAAATAATTAATTTATGTCCCTTTAAATTTTAGTTTTTCTTTTTGCTATTGCTGCTTAGGTTTTTTCTTTTTTTTCTGTTTAGTTTTGAGGTAAATTTTAAGTAAGTGTCATGGAAAACAAACTGTATTTACTGGTCACTGATGACGTTTAGTGTGACTAATTTAAAATGCGGCTTTAGAAATACGAATGATCTCTGAGAATATATCCTACTCACTAGTTGATCTTAATAAAAGTTTTGGATAATTTGTAGTGTTTGGAGTTGGCCAGAAGCAAGATTCAATAAGGATGATAAAAACTTGTGTGCTATCTAATTCTTGGAATATTTTCTTTTACTACTAAATAATTCATAGACTTATTTATTTATTTATTTATTTATTTTTTTTGGTTTTTCTCCGGTACCAGGAACCGAACTCACGACCTTGCGCTTGCCAGGCAGGCGCTTTTGCCGCTGAGCTAAATCCCCAGCCCCTAGACTTATTTAATGTTTAGAAAACTTGTAGTTTGAAAAAGTAAAATATTTCTAATACTCTTGGTTTCTGATTTTCTCATTCATCAGTGATATTCTACAGACCTTGTAGAAATGATTTTCATCAACTTTTACTTTAGAAATTGTTTTTAAAACTTAAATTGAATGTTTAGAAGAAAGGAAAGAGTTATTACTTAATCTCTTTTAGTCTTACAAGACATTTAAGTTTGCTCTTTTCCCAGCCCTTTTTAAAGTTCTGTTTTTTTAGATTTTGAGACACAGTCCTGCTAAGTTACTGTGCTGCCCAGGCTGTGCTTGAACTTGTGATCCTCTTGCTTCAGCCTCCCAGAGTGCTGGGAATACAGGCGGCATATGCCACCATGTCTGGCTTAGGTTTTCCTTTTTTGATTATGGTTATTCTCCCTGGAAACTTCTTTAGCATGCTTCTGACAGTATATACAATTAGCTGACTGTAGGTTTTTTGTTTTTTAAATGCAGGTACACTGAAAGAATATATTTAAAGCTTGAGTTCTATTTGTGGAACTGCTTTATTTTCCTTAATTGCACTTTGGAACTTAGTAGATAAATTCACAATGGAAAGCAGTCTCCAGTGATCTTGCTTTCTACATATACAAGCCCCCTTTGGTGGAGCCCCTTTTTCTTAGGAGTCATGATTCTAAGCTGAGTTGTGAAAATTCTTCTTGGAGAGTCATACTTGTATACACCTTTGAAAACCATTGTTCCAGAGGAAATATTTGGCCTTTCTATGTTGGTCTAGATGGAATGATAAAGTATATCAAAGTGATTGTGACTTTCAAGAAAGGCCAACCTTAACTACAAAAGACTAGGAAGCCCTGAGGAGTTATCTCTAACAATTATGTAAAGAAGAAATTGTATAAAATTTTTACGTTAATTTCACTACAGAGTTTTTCTCTGGCTTTTAAAAAACTATTTGATTCGTATGCCAGTTGTGGTGGCACATGCCTATAATCTCAGCACTAGAGGGGGTGAGGAAGGAGGATTGTTGCGAATTTGAGGCCAGCCTGCGCTATAAAGTAAGCTCAAGGCAAGCCTGAACTGCATAGCGATACCCTGTCTCAAAAAGACCAAAAAAAAAAATTGATTCCTAAACCTTCACTTTTCTCATAGTACTTGGTTCAAGTCCTAAATGTAGCATATTTTACATTACATTAAGTTTGTTTGACTGCCTTAATTAATTGTACATTTCTGATGTTTAGGATACTGTTTGGCATATTGATGTAGTTTTATTTATTGAGTTTTTGGATTCTCAAAATAGGAACCAGACCTTAAATGTGTGAGTTAGGTACTTACTTAATATAAGGTAGGGATCTTATTAGACATTTGATTTATTAATATCTTATAATATTTAACTTGTTTGATGTGTATGAATCTGTAGAATGAAGTTAAAACTCAAAATGAGTATTTGGATGGCAAATGCTATATGAGACCGTGACAGTCTGATTTGTTCCAGAACCTGATTACTATTAAGATATATGAAGGTCTTATGTCTCTGCTTATTTATTTAAGTAGTTTGATACAGGTCAGTACTTTGATCATCTTTGAATTGGGTTAAAAACATTGCTTTCCTAGGTTGTGATAGCAAGTTCTTAATACTGTTTTTTCTTTGCTTTATGTCTTTCTTGTGCATGTGTGCAGTTGGAGTGCCTCAAGCTTATTGCTTCTCAAAAATTTACAGACAAACGCATTGGCTACTTAGGAGCAATGCTGCTATTAGATGAAAGACAAGATGTCCATCTTCTCATGACTAACTGTATCAAGAAGTAAGTTTTACCGTCCCTTCTTCTAATGACCACTTTCCTCTTTTAGGGATTTCTGAATATGACATTAAAAGTTTCTATTTATTGGTTTCTATTTATTGTCTAGAATGTATTGGACTTTTTTTGGGGGTACTGGAAATCAAACTCACGACCTCCTGCTTGCCAGGGAGGTACTGTGCCACTGAGCTATATCCCTGGCCCTCTAGAATGTATTAGAATTGCTCTGAATTCAATAGCTTTTAGGATGTGAAGAGGTTAATCAAAGAATATAAGTGATCACTGAAATGAAATGTGGGCCTTCATTGAAAAGGCATTGATAAAATATAATTTTCTTATATTTCTAGGACTTTGAATACCACGAGTAGTGAACCTTTAGACTTACTAAAAATTTGACAGTGTAGCTGGGTATGAGAGCATTCTTGTAATCCCAGCATTCAGGAGGCTGAGACAGTAGGATTCTAAGTTTGAGGCCAGTCTAGACTATACATGGTAGCAAGTTCAAGGCCACCCTAAACTACATACTGAGACCCTGTCTGAAATCGTGCCTCCCCCAAATTACCAACAATATGTTCTGATTATCTTTTAAAGGTAAAAAGAGAGGTGATGCTTGTTACTGGTCTTATCTGAGATTTCAGTTGTATGGAGTTGTTTGTATTGCTGTGAATTTTAATGTATAGACTTTTCAAAACTCCTTAATAGCTGTTTTACTGTTATACTAGTCTCGTTGTGCTAGCTTACCTTGTGTTCCAATTCAGAAATCTTGCTGTGTAGAAAAATTAGAGGATCTGTGCAGGGAATTACCAGTTCTTCCCACTGTCGCTCTCACAAGAATTCTGTTAGAAAGCTGTAGGAGTTCTCATGGCCCAAACATAGTTAGAAGTACTTTTTGGTTTGTTTTAGTTTGATTTTGGTTTGTGTGTGTTTAATCACTATTTAAATTTCTTTTTTATTTGTAGTATGCATATATTTAAAAGAAAGTAGAAGTGCATGGTAGTATGTGCCTGTAATTCCAGCACTTATTTGGCTGAGGCAGGAAGATTTTGTGTTTGAGGTCAGCCTGGACTACATAGTGGGAGCTTGTATCAAAAAAATCAAAAATGTGGAACTAAGGGGTGGAAATGTAGGTGACCAAATTTGCAGACATTTAAACTTGTATTTTTTTCTAAAGTAACTAGTAACTTCAGATTTTTTCCAAAGAGTAATGGGAAATTCCAAAACAATAGTTTTAATTGGGTGACAGTAATCAAGTGTAGCCTTTGAACTGGTTGTAATTGCACATGCATGTGTAATCCTAGCACTATGGGAGGCTGAGACAAGAGGCTCTTGAATTTAAGACCAGCCTGAGCTATGTAGTGAATTCTAGAGCTAGGACTACATAGTGAGACCCTCAAAGAGACAGAAATAACAAAGAGTAGCATTTGAGTACAACAAATCTGTAACTTAATTCTGGGAGAAATTCTTGTTTATTGTCTGTAGAATAAATATTAATAAAGACCATAACAAGTTGTGCACCAGCTCATGTATTCAAATTTATTGCATGCATGCTATGTACCTGGAGCTGTTGAAAGCATTGGAATGGAGAATTACAAAACGGACAGAGGCCAGGGATATAGCTTAGCAGCACAAGTGCCTACCGGGCAAGAGCAAGGTCCTGAGTTCGATTCCTGGTACTTGAAAAAATAAAAAGGGATAGAAATCTTTGTTGTTATAGGAAGTACATTTTAGATCAGCATTACTTTGGATAGGCCTCAGAGAGTTTCTTTAATTTGTGGTGTTCTGTGCTTTGTTGCTTTTGTTACTTAAGCTTTCTAGCATGTGCTCATAACTTGGCAACTCTGCCTGGCAGCAAATTCCTATTAGAGAGTTAATACCAAACTTAAGTATAGGTTTATAGCTTGATAAAAATTGAAGAATGAGGCCCATAGATAAATAAGAAATCTTTGAATTTAGTTTTCAGGAGGTCCAGCCAAACCCAAAGTGAATTTAGGACAGAACTACCTTTTCAAATAATTGAGAGTTGAATAGGCACTTCATTCTAATTATTGGATCATTGAGTTTTTTGAAAATAAAAATTTGGTAAAGTATGCTGTACACACACGCGCGCGCGCACACACACACACACACTTGTGTTTTAGGGTTTTTGAGAGGGTCTCACTATGTATTCTATGTTGGCCTTGAACTGTCTATGTAGCCCACACAGCCTTTGATTCTCCTGCCTTGACACCCCCAGTGCTGTGATTGCAGGTGTGTGCCACTACTCCTGGCTTCCTATTTTTTTGTTTTTTGTGGGTTTGTTTATATTATAGGGAATTATAGTATACCACGAGGTTCTATACGTGGTAATTAAACACTTGCCTCATTATTCATTGACTTAGAAAAACTTAAGACATTAAGGATTTTGGGATTAAGTCTTTAAAATGCAGATTTAATATTTGAAGTTCTTAAAATGTTCTTAAACATTGAAAAATGAATATAAAGTCAGCTAAATATATTTGGGAACTGGCACCCAAGATGTTAAAAATGTAGTTAATATTTAAACTTCATTTTACCTATAATTTTTATCCAAAACTATTCAAATTGACGAAAAGGAGCAAATCTGGCCAGTTTCATTTTATCTTCTTCCTTTCTTTTCCCATTTTAGTATGTCTTGCTGAAGCAAGCACGTTCTTTTTCTCTTTTCATTGGGCAGCAGAAACTAACACCATTTATTTCTTAACTCAAAAATACTAATATTGGGGCTAGGCATGTCTATAGGTCAGTAGTAGAGTACTTGCCTAGCAGTGCAAGACCCCAGATTTAATCTGCTGCACCAACCAGCCAACAAACAAAACACTGATAATGAACATGCTATATTAATGTAAATAGTATTTATGAAAAATAAATTATTTCCTAAATCAGAAAAATTCCACTGTGAAGAATGGCATTATTTTACATTTGTATAATTCTTTATCAATTGGCTGCTACTGTCTTCTGCAGTTTCTTATATTATGTTCTGTTGATTGAAGTATGTGAAGAAAATCTAATGTCTTCCAGATAATATAATTAGAAAAGGAAAGAGTAGTAGCGATGGAGTAGTGCACCCCTGTTATCCTAGCAGTTGGGAGGCTGAGGCATGGCTCAGTTTGAATTTTGTCATTGGCAATGTATTCTGTTAGTTTTGCTCATGAAGGATTAGGCTGACTTGGATGTTTGTCCGGAAATGTGTGCCAGATACCCAAATCTTAGTTGACAGTTATTTTTCAAATAAAAATGAGGTCCTTTTTTTTTCAACTATGTAGTTGTGGTTACCTTTGAACTCAGTGAGCTTGCTGCCTCACCTCCTAAGTGCTGGGATTACAGGCGTGCACCACCATACTTGGTTTGAGGTCTTACTTTGAAAGCAGCGAGCTCATTAGTTTTGCTTATGAAATAACTACACAAATGCTTTCCTCTGAGATTGTCATTTTACTTCAGTGTTGCAGCACAAGCAGTAATTCAAGCATATTTCTCATTTTGTCATGTAAAATATTTTAAAAATATACATAAGAGTTGAAAGGTAAGGTTTTTTTGTGTAGTTCAGTGGTGGAATGCTTGCCTAGCATCCATGAAGCCCTGAATTTAGTCCTCAGCACTACAAAAAGAAAGATTTGAGAATTAATAAAACTAATAATTTTTACTGCTTTGTCATGAAGAATCTTATATGAAACTGTCTTTTTTCTTTTACTTTGCTAGTTTTTGAGACAGGGTCTAGCTATGCAGCTCTGGCTAGCCTTGAACTCATTATGTAGCTCAGGCTGGCCTTGAGCTCCCCACAACCCTCCTGCCTCAGCCTCCACAGTGCCGGGAGTACAGGCATGTGCCACCTGGATTAAATCCAGGACCTCGTGCTAGTAGTAGTCACTATATTTACTGCCACAGTAAGTTATAGTAGTATAGTTTGATTCCCCTGCTATTGATTTGCACTAGCAGGCAAGTTTTTCTCACCACTGCTTTTGTGTCATCAGTGTAAGTATCAGTACGCAGTGTTACAGGGTTATGAAAATAAGCTAGGTATGGTGGCACATGCCTACAATCCCAATACTTGGGAGGCTGAGGCAGAAGGGTTTTGTGTTCAAGACCTACCTTAAATTGTGAGATACTGTTTTAAACACACACATGCACACACAAACACACATACACGCACACACACAATTTAAAGGACTGTGAAAATAGTTTGAGTGGCAGTCTTGAAGACATTTAGAGACCTTTTGAACCAACCTGCATCTTAGGAGACTAAAATGCTCTGAAAGCTGTTAGAAGTAACACAATTCGTAATTCGGCCTCTGAATAACAAGAATTGATTGTAGTATATAGATGTTTACCAGTTCAAGCTTTAGCTTTTCTGAAAGAACACTTCCTGACCTGTTTGAAAATAATTTATATGGTAATGTCTCAATTTCTACTCCTAAAATAAAATAGCTGAGGCTGGATAATCTATAAAGAAAAAAAGATTTATTTAACTTACAGGTTTGTAAGCCAAAGTCAAAGATAAGGGCGACCCCATTTGATTAGCTTCTAGGAATAGCACCACAGTGGGAGAGGGAGTGATCACATGGCAAGAGAGGAATCCAGAGAGCAGGGTGGGACTAGTCTTGTTCTTCTGTAGCAACTCATGGGAACTACTAATTCTTCAAGGCTAGTATCTGGTGTGCACTTTTCGCAATCACCTCCCTCTAGGTTCTACTTCTTACAGTCTGTACTGTGTACCTGTTGCATCAACACATACACTGGGGACCAAACCGCCAATACATTAATCTTTATCGGATGCCCAAACCATAGCAAGTAATCAAAGTCTGTTAGATGATTTCATGGATATGTACCACTAGATATAGGAGTTTACTGTAAAAATAAAACTTAGTTTTTAAAAGGTTTTATTATAATGACAGTTACAGATTTTTTTCTTTGTCATCATTTTTTTTTGTACTGGGAATCAAACTCAGGACTTTGCGCTTGCCAGGCAGGTGCTTGTGCCGCTGAGCTGTATTCCTGGCCCCCCACTTTTTTTTTTTTTTTCTTTAAGTAGGAAAATTTATTGGAGAAAAGGAATGGGGAATAGGAATAGCTTCTGAGAGACAGGGAAGGTCCTGAGTGGGTTGCCCTCTTCTCTTGAATAAAACAAAAATGTAAAAATTATTTAGTGAAGCATCACTAAATAATGCTTTTATAAAACACTTTAGTTCATATGAAACTTATACCTTAGTTCATACTAAAGTATAAGACCAAAAGTGTCAGAAGATAAACTGAATTTCTGTTGTGATGCTTATATTATCTTAAATGCTGTAGAAATAGAGATTATTTTCTGATTTTTTAAAAAGGGTTTTGTTAGTGTATGTCTTATCTTTTCTTATAGTTAATAATTAGTTGATATTAAAAGCTGGCTTTTTTTTTTTTTTTTTGGTCTTTGTGAGACAGGGTTTCACTTTGCAGTTCAGGCTGGCAGGCTTGAAGTCACGTTGTAGCCCAGGCTGGCCTCCAACTCACAGTGATCCTGTGTGCTGAGATTACAGGCGTGAGCCATCATGCCCAGCTCTAAAAGCTTTCTGAGATACAGTTTTCTTTATATTTTTATCTTTGCCAGTTTTTACTTTCAGTAGTTTGCTACATTTTCTAAAATGGTTTGTCCTTAACATCTAACTTACACTGTGTCCAATTTCTGCAGCTTTGGTATTTTGAAACACTGGGTTGCAGATCTCTCGAGGATTGTCAGCTCATTGTATTGTGATTTGTAATAAAGTTGTAATAAATGTTTTTTTCTAATTAATCCTATTAAATATTTTCATTAAAAGAAATCTTGAGTCATTTCCAAACTTGTTTGTTAAATGTAAAGTTTTTTTCATGGGAAGTACCAAGCAAAGCATATTCACACACACTCCCTTTTTTTTCTTTTGCAGTGATCTTAATCATAGCACTCAGTTTGTGCAGGGACTAGCTCTTTGTACTCTCGGCTGCATGGGCTCCTCAGAGATGTGCAGAGATCTTGCAGGAGAGGTGGAGAAGCTCTTGAAAACCTCTAACTCTTACTTAAGAAAAAAGGTAACTTTTAATGAAACCATTGTGTACATTTGGATTAGGGAGTATTCTGGAGATGAGAAGACAGATGTCATTTTTGAAAACATGGATGATAATACAAAGAATTTTTCTCTGATCTTTTAAAAGGTTTTTTATATACAAATCTTAATTCCTCTGTTTTCAAGGAAACTTAAAAGCAGATTTACTAAATATTCTAAGTGACTCATCTGATTATTTCCAAAATTATGTAAATTCTTCAGTATTAGAAGCTGGCTTTGGTGGTGCATGCATATAGTCCTGGCACTGAGGGAAGCTGAGGGAGGAAGATCAGCAAGTTTTGGTCCTGCCTGAGCAACCTAACAAGGCCTTACCTTAAAAAAAAAAAAAAAAAAAAAAATGCACAATTTAATGAGGCCCTGTTTTAAAAAAAGAAAAAGTTAGGGATGTAGCTCGGTGGTAAAGCACTCCTAGGTGTGATCGCTGGTGCCACCAAGATAAATATGAAAACAAAGTGAGAATGAATAGATCTTTATGAATTGACTTTTATACTGATGGTTATTGCTCGTGTCTTTGTACTAGTGATCTTTGTATCTTTGGGACAGTTCCATTGGGACTTTAGATAATTACGAAGGAATGAAGTAGAGCCTACTTTTTAAAATTGGTATATCTGATTAGAATAGTAATGGAAGAGAATTATCTTGTTTTCTAATTACCTGCTTTTACCTGTTGATGCAAACATTTTGTTGTTTTTTAAATTGTTCTTCAACCCTGAAACATTTGTACACAAAGTGTATAGAATGTAGACCTCCAAGAAATAAGCACATACCCCATCTTATTGGTGTTTACTGTCCTTTATTTATTTATTTTTAACTGTCCTTTATTAATGGTATGAGAAAGGCATTGAAAAGGTTAAGCAGTTTCCCAGGATAGTGTACTGTTAATGATGGCTGTAAACAGAGTTAAATTCTTTCCTTAATTTATAAGCCAGTACTTTTTCTGTTTTTGTTTTACTTGTTTTTTGAGACAGAGTCTCACTGTGTAGTTAAGACTGACCTCAAACACCTGGAAACTCTCCTGCCTTAATCTTCCAAGTGCTGGCATTACAGGCACGTGCCACCATGCCCAGCTAAGCCAGTGTGAGCTGCTGTTGTTTAGAAGACACATTATTGTGTTAAATAAAACATTCCTTCAAATTAGAACTACTCTCATCCCGTTGAGTATAAGAGGAATTAGCAGAAATCCTTTTTAATTTTTATGGTATTTGACTTAAGAAATAGCTGAGGGGGTAACCAGATTCAGTCTTTAAATGCACCTTTCCTTCCAGTGGCCATATTAGTACCATCTGTTTTTTAGTAGAGACTAGATAAGTATATTCCTAATGATTCTTTCATTCCTTCCTGACATTAAGCATTGGACCATGCATGAGCATGCTCTATACCACTGAGCTAGTCCCTTACTCTATTCAGAAGATTTTCTTTATGTCAGTAGATAGTGGGGGGAGTATAGATTTTATTAAACTAACAACAAATTTATAGCATCTGCAGCATTATATTTTTATACCTGTTGGTCATCTTACTTACAGGATTACTAGAGATGATCAGAGGGAAGTCCTTATCTATTTTTTTTTTTTTTTTTACTTTCCTAGAATTTTACATAAGTTATATGTAACTCATTTAATGAATTTATAGCACCCAGCGTCTAGTCTAGAAAATTATTGCCCACTTGTCCAGCAATATTTAAATAAAGGGACAGGTGGTCTGGAAGTTACTTCTTAATATAATAGTATAAACTGAAAAGCCCCAACCAGTTAATAAATAATACCTCATGTCTAACTTTTTTCATCTTTATTTTTCTGGTAAATGAATTACTCGGTGAAGTACTTTGTTTCTTTTTCTAAGATTGGTTGGCCTGCTTACTTGAAATTTTTTGTCCTCTATTTTTTTATAGGCAGCACTGTGTGCTGTTCATGTCATCAGGAAAGTTCCTGAACTTATGGAGATGTTTTTACCAGCAACAAAAAACTTACTGAATGAGAAGAACCATGGTAATGTGATTTGGTTGAACTCGTGAAGTACTGAGAAAAAGGGAAAGGAAAGGTTAAACATATTCATGATGGGGCTGTAATTTGTATGTCTCACTGCCAGGTGGCTTGAACCACTGGTGGTACTTGCATGACTGTCCCAAGGGGTGGCTTTTTACTTATTTTATTAGTAAAATGAACAGTAGAAGTGATTACATCCATTTGTATCACCAGCTGTTCAAATCAGCAGGAACATGTTCAGGCTGTGTCTACCCTGTATCTAACGGCAGGGGCAGAGGAGTTGCATTCCTACTGTGCATAGACACTTTCCCAGGAAGGCTTGGTCTGCTCAATGTCTTTTCTACTTAGATATCCTAGTTTAACAATTAGATTGATTTCTTTATAATAAACTTGTCATTCATCTCTGATCTTCTGTTAAATTACAATATTTAATGCAGTGTACAAATGAGCTTTCCATTTATTTTCATTTGTAAAACCCTTTGATTTCTTGGCCAATTTGTAATGAAAGAAAATTTTCCTCATTGTCATGTGGTAGGAGTATTACATTAGGAAAAATTCTTTAGAGTTGCTTCTAACAGGAATTTGTAGTAGATACTTACATATTTTTATGTAAAGCTTAAGAGGAATTAAAATGGAATGTAGCGGTTCTTTTCCTGTACACTTTCATTCTTATTTTGAAGTCAGTTAAACAAGTTCTAAGAAAATTTACATCTTAAATGTTACGGGATATTTGAGTAATGCAGTGCTGTGCCCAGAATGCTGAAAATACGCTTAACACATGAATCTTTAGGTCATTTATTTATTAGTGAAATGTATATTAGGATTGTTTTTATTGACTTTGGAACAAGCAAATATATTTTCTCATCCATAAGTGGAGTTTTGTTACATTCCATCTGGAAATGTAAAGTGTTATTAAGATTTGTGTCTCTTAAATTTTATGTCCAAACTCAGCAAATAGTTTTATTGAGTAGGTGTAGAGCAGAAGAGATCTAGTTTCTATTGATTGTGAGCATGTTTTTATGGTTATTAGTAGCTGAGGAGATATACTGTTGTTTTTAATTAATTATAGATAATTGTTAAAAGTCTTCTGATTTGACCAGTGTTAAGTCAGCAGGTTTCTATTAAGCACTTTCTTTGTAGTCACTGCTGTGCTTAGATTCTTTGGGGGATTAAAAAGCAAAGGTAGCAACTATACTTCTGGAATTGACCTTCAGAAGCTCAAGGCCCTGCCTCTTCTATAAAGTTGAATAATAGAGCCTCATTTTTAGTTTTTCCTTAATCTTTTGTTCCAGGTGTCCTTCACACATCTGTAGTCCTCCTCACAGAGATGTGTGAGCGAAGCCCAGACATGCTTGCACATTTCAGAAAGGTAGGTGCTGTTCTGTGTGCCTTTCTTGATTGGAAAATAATTTTCTTGAAAAGTATGTGCTTTTCCCCCCACTTTTTTTTTTTTTGGAAAGTAAGCTATGAAGGTGAATAAAGGACTTAACTAGCCCTCCTGTGTAGTAGGGCTAGAAGCCAGATTTAGGCTTATAAGAACTGGCACTAGTATAATGCTTTCTTTTTCAGAATAGAAGTCTTCTCTTGTTGGCAGACACACTAATTTCTCACATGTTTTATCTGCTGTTTTGACATTGAGTCAGGAAATGTAACCTGAGGTTATATTACAAATAGGATTTTTTTAAAAAGACAGGTAATTTTCTAATATTCTTTTTTTTTTTTTAGGTGAAAACTGCAAACTGGGATTTTTTTCTTTCTTTTACCCCACTGTTCAGTTTAGTCCATTGATCCCTGTGATGAAAGTTCTAATGTTTTAAGTTCTTCCTTCTTAAATAGCCTTTTAAAATGAGCGTTTTTATTTTTCCTGTTAGAAGGCAGTAGGAAGGAGGATTCAGGCAAAGATCATTCTTTGGGTAGCTGTATGCATTTAATTTCTTTTTATAGGCTGCTGATCACTCCATAAATACGGGTAATTTTGTATTTTAGATCTAATAACAGTTCTTTTTTGGGCTTTTTCCTCCCTTAGATGTTCATGTCTTGATTAAATTATTGTAAAATAGTATGAGCCCGTATCTGTCCCTAATGCTTGCTTTATATGTTTTGTTCCTGTTGTCTGTTTGGAATCCTGCTGTATGTTAGAATGAAAAGGTAAGAATTAACCCTCTTTTAGATGGTGCATGCTGGCATTAGGTCCTTAGCAGCTTTGTGTATCCACCCACAAATGTGGCTTTTAACCTATACTAATGCTGAAGCTGTGCTTAATATACTGTGAGTTATTTGTTCTAGCATTTTTGGCTAACTCCTAGTCCAGTTACTGTCTTGTCACTTAAACTCCTGACTCCAAAGTCAGCCTTGGATTTCAGTTGCAGCCTTTCCCAGATTGTAAGCCGCCTTCTCTGCCTTTTCTTGATCTTCATTTGAGAAGCTTTGAGCAGATTCCCAATGTCTTTAGCGATGGCAATTCCAGATCAGTCTGGAGCCTTGACACAAAGCATCACTTCTTTTTAAAGTAGATATTTTAGAGCCCTATGTGGTAGCTGAATATTTTACAAAGCTCCATGTGAGCTTTCAGTTCAGACTTAGAGCTTTTATTTTCCCTGTGTCTGGACTTAATCTTGCTAGCTGTTTTGTAATATTAAAAGGACTTACAGGTAGAGTAGGTGGGCACCAACTGATTTTCATGGCTGCAGCCTTTCCTTTTGTCATCTTATTTTGTTTGTCCTGTCATTAGTTTTAATAATGTCCGTTTTTGTCTGAAAAATAAAGCTCAGTTCTAAGAATTTGTGTGCACTTAGGCATTTGTGCTTTCTGTCCCAGGGTAATCTTATGAAATGTACTAGCCTTTTGGCAGTGAATAAAACAATTTAATAGCCCAAGGAAAAAAAGACTTCTCCAAGAACTAACAGATTTAAGAAAGTAATCAGGTTATGTGTAGTAGCAAAAAAAAAAAAAAAAAAGCAGACCTTTGGGAAGTATGCAAGGTGAGCTGCTTATCTTTAACCCCAGTTTGTCCACAATTGACTGATTTAATGAGGATTTTTGCAGAATTCACAGATTTTCATAGTTTAGCTTTGTCTTATTCTTGCAGTTGTCCAAATTAGATTTTTAAGTGACTTCATAATCATTAACTTTAGAAGTGTTGAGGCCAAACTTACTTAAAAATTCATACAGATTGTGTTTTCTGGTGTTTAGAAATGGACTTAATGTTTTTAGTGTTTTGAGTGTATGTCTTGGGAATGGCTTGGTTCTTCACTTTGATCTCAACCCTTATTTGGGCTTGGGAAGTAAAGGTGGAAGAGTCTAAATACAGTGAGAAAATGTAATTGAATTGCAGCAGAGTCGGCACTGTTCAGATTGGCCACTTCTTTACTTAGTTTTAGGTCATTAGAGTTCTTAAAATAGCTAAATTGAGTTTTCATTTGGAGACTGGAGAAGTTCCTATTGTGGCAGTTTGTAGGAGGGTTTTAACATTAAGTAATTGATCATCAGAAATGAAATGAGTGCTGATACATATTTAAAGCATCTATAAGTTCAGCTTAGCAATAGTATTGCCTCTACTAAGTTTATGACTGTTAATGGAGAGACTAAATGAATGGGCCACAAAACAGCGTGCAGAATTCAGTGATGATACTAAATTTAGCGAAATCCTGTCATGTGAGTGAAGAATAGGGGAATGGAATATTCATAGCCTTGATATCTTGAGGTGAAAAGTGTATTTTCTTTGTGTCTTTTTCACTTGGCTAATGTATTTGGTATTCTTCATTGTTCATTGGGAAATGACCTAACTAGCCCTATTTTAAGAGGAGAGAAACGTTTATGTTAGGTGGTATGTTTTCAAGAAATTAAATTTTGGTGTGATAACACTTTACATTTGAGGGATCAAAACTGAACAGTTTTTTTGCCACTAAGGTGTATCCAATTCTACAAAAGTAAAAATGCAGTATGCTCCACAGGCATCTGCTCTACTTCTACTTGGTTCACATAGACTTTCTGACCTGCTATTGTAATATCTTCGCATATAACTCTGGAGTTAAAAAAGTCTTCCTTTTTTTCAGATAAAATACATACTGCTTTTGAGTTTTTGGCCTAAAAACTCCTAAGTTATATTTTTGAAACATGTACAACATATTGCTATATTTGTATCAATACTTTTCTGGGATTCAGACCCTTGCATCCTTTTTCTAAACCAAAGGACTTGCTTATTCAAGAGACATTCTTAGATATTTACTGTTTTTTTGGATGCATCTTTCTTTTCTGCAGCTTGTACCCCAATTAGTTCGTATTCTAAAGAATCTCATCATGTCCGGATATTCCCCAGAACATGATGTTTCTGGTATCAGTGACCCCTTTTTGCAGGTAAGTCTGAAAAACTTTTTGAATAAATGTTATGTGGATGTAACAAGTTTCGAGCAGACTGTTTTTCTTATTTGTATTGTGTAACACTTTGGTAGTTAATTGATTATATTATTAATACATACATAGAGACACAATTCTGTATTTTATTAGATTGATAGAATAAAATTGTAACTTTAATCACAATTATTTACTACTTATATGCCTGAATTATCAATATAATAATAGCTCTGCAAGTTGTGTTACTCATTTAGCTGTGGGCTATAAAGGGTGAGTTGTCTTAATAGCTATTAGATACAGAAGTACATATAGCTTTAAAAAAATGTTTAAAATTCTGTTTGATTTTGAACATTTCTGATGGGATCTTAACACTTTATTTCCTATTGAGTGAGTTTCCTTTATGCCAATGTAATTGTTGAAACTTCTCATATTTTGCACATTAGGTACGAATTTTGCGGTTATTAAGAATTTTAGGACGAAATGATGATGACTCAAGTGAAGCTATGAATGATATATTAGCACAGGTGAGTAGACCTAGCTTGCATTTTATTGAATATTTCCACCTAGCTGAAAGTAGAATGAGTGTTGATTACTGTATGGAGTAGGTTTTGTTTCCTCATTGGTGGCTAAAATCAAAATGTCTCTTGTTACCTCTGGGTAGTTTTTGGAAGCATTGTTTCATCACATAGGTACTTTCTTCTGTATCTTTTCAGGTTGCCACTAACACAGAGACCAGTAAAAATGTAGGAAATGCTATTCTTTATGAAACTGTTTTGACTATCATGGATATTAAATCAGAGAGCGGATTGCGAGTAAGTCTTTTAAAATCTTTTCTCTCTAAACATGTTATATAGAATGATTTTTCTTTTCATTTTAGTACTTTGGAATTGGACTCCATTTGGAACTTATTTTAGGAAGAAATTACATAAAAATATGTGTTTTTGGAATGTGAATTATTTTCTCCCATTGAATGCTTAACATTAATTATAACAATAAAGTTTGGAAGAATGTATGTATAGTTAGATATATAGATATTGTTGAGAGAGGGCAACACTTCAGAATAAGCTTTTAGTAGAGCCACAATTTGAGTTGTATGTATTATTCCAAACAAGACACAGTAGTTGAGTAAGTTTGTTTTTATTTAAAGAATAGACATACAGACTATAAAACTCAAAAGTACACAGGAAGCTGGGTGTAGTGACACATGCTTGTAATCGTAGCATTTGAGAGGCCACTGCAAGTTCAAGACCAAACAGTGTAGGCTACATTGTGAGTTCAAGACCAGCCTAAACTATATACTGAGACCCTGTCTCAAAAAAATGAAAAAGAAAGAAAGGTACATAGGAAAGACAATGTCTGCCTTATACTCTTAATATATAGCCTCTTAGTTCTTCCTCCAGAGGAAAACACTTAGCAATTTCTAATATATTTTTGAGCTATTGTATCCATATTCAAATGTGCCTTTAGGTGCATATTTGTGCATAATTGTTCTTTTCTTCACTTTTAATAAGTTTTATTTTAAATGATTTTAAACTTAATTGCAAAAATAGTTCATAGTTCTTATATACTCTATACTCTTAATCCACCTTCCCCTAATGTTAAGATCTCACAGAATTATAGTGTAATTATAAAGAGTAAAATTAATGATGACTAATAATTATTTTACAGACATTATTCATATTTTACCAATTTTTCTATTTTTATTTTCTGTCCCAGGAGGCAACCCATGGTCTCACATTGCTTTTAATTTTTATGTGTCCTTAGTCTCCTGATATTTGACTTTCTCAGTCTTTGTCTTTCATGACATTGACAGATTTGAAAAGTACTGGTCATTTACTTTCTGGAATGTAGTTTGATATTTTCTCATAATTTTATGGATTAAGGTAATACTTTTTGACAAAAGTATTCAGAAACAGTGTGTGCCCTTCTCCATTGATGATACAGGAATTGCATGCTATCTTTCATTATTACTGTGGTGTTAATCTTGGTCACTTGCTGAAGGTGATGTCTGCTAGCTCTCTTTATGTAGTTACTGGTTTTTGTCTTTTGTAATTAAAATATATATTTGAATATATTTTTAAAAATACATATGGTAGTACTGGGGGTTGGACCCAGGGCCTTTTATTCAGCTATATCCCCACCTCTTTTATTATTTTTTATTTTGAGATAAGGTCTTGCTAAATCACTAAGTTGCCCAGGCTGGGCTTCAGCTTGCAATCCTCCTGCCTCAGCCTCTGAAAATGCTGGGATTACATGTGTGGACTATGTTTCTTTTTTTTTTTTTTTTTGGTACCGGGGATCGAACTCACGACCTTGCACTTGCCGGGCAGGCGCTGTGCCACTGAGCTAAATCCCCAGCCCTGTGTGGACTATGTTTCTATTTAAGTAAAAATACTTTGAGAGAAACACTTCTAGAGAATATAAGTAACCTATTTATATACTTTTGCCCATCAGTTTTAGCATCCATAGATGCTCTTACCTGCAGTAATTACAAAGGTGATGTTCTAATGATAGTTTTCCTATGTCTTTCATGTTTTTTTCCTTATTAAATAATAGTTGTATAGGAAGTTGTCCTTCTCCCCCATGAATTTTTTCATTAATCCAATCATTTATTAATATTAAAATTGCTAACCTTACTAACTAGATACAGTAGCATTATAGTCATGTAATCAAAGGAACTTAGGTTAAGTTCCTCTCCCTTTCAAACAAATGAAATATATATTCTGTACCTTGACTTTTTCAGCTATCATTATCATTATTTTTGGAGCTTGTTTGATATTTGTATAGATGGGTTTCATTCCTTTTTGCTTTTTTTTAATTGCAATACAATATACATATAACTTAAAATGTATATTTTGTTTTATTTTTTTGTTTTTTTTTGGTTTTTCTCCGGTACTGGGAACCGAACTCACGACCTTGCGCTTGCCAGGCAGGCGCTTTTGCCGCTGAGCTAAATCCCCAGCCCCTAAAATGTATATTTTAATCATGTTTAAATGTATAGTTCAGTGACAGTAGTACATTCATTGCTGGGTAGCCATTACCATCATATTCTTCAGAAGTTTTTTTTGCCTTCCCAGACTGTCTCTATTAAACAGTAACTACCCATTCCCTATTACCAGTCTTTGGCAACCATTATTCTTTCTGTCTCTGTGAATTTTATTACTCTTACCTACTTCTGGAAAGGTACAGGAAAAGCCAAAACTGAAATGTTTTTCTTCCCTTATACTCTACCTGTATATTCTCTCAACACTTTTTTTTTTTTTTTTTTTTGGTCTTCTTGACACAGGATCTCGCTATGCAGTTCAGGCTGGCCTTGAGCTCACTTTGTAGCCCAGGTTGGTCTCAAATTCACAACGATCTTCCTGCCTCAGCTTCCCAAGTGCTGGGATTGGTAGGGGTGCACCACCATGCCTGGCTAACACTTTAACACCAAATATATGAGATGTTTTCCCACACAACAATGTTTCACCACTGGACACCAACTAGATGGTCTCTGATTTAATTCTGACACTGTCTACCCAGAAATAGGGTCACATCCCATGGATTAATGGCTTAGTCTCACAAGACCATCACTTCATATGCCAATCACAAATACAGATTACGATCTGTGCTGACCAACCACTTTAAAATCTAGGTTCCTACGTCCGTCTCTGAGTGTGATTAATTTGCTAGAGTGGCTCACAAAACTCAGTGAAACACTACTTCAGTATTCCAGTTTACTATGTAGGATACTACAAAGGATACAGCACGAGGGAAAAAAAGTATAGAGCAATGCATGTGCTAAGGAATGAGGAACTTTTATGCCCTTCCCAGGCATGCCACCTTCCAGGAAACTACATGTTTAGGTATTTTGAAGTTTTTAGGAACCCTGTCCTTTGGGATTTTTATAGAGGCTCTGTTATGTAGGCATGATTGATTAAATCTTTGGCTATTGGTGAGCTGCATGACTTTCAACACCCATTTTCTCTGGAGCTTGGGGATGGGCCTGAAAGCTTGAACTCTCCAAACACATGGTTGATGCCCCTGGCAAACCAGCCTCATTCTGAGGCTGTCCAGGAGCCCTACAAAATCACCTCATTACAGTGTAAGGTACTGATGTATCACCTAAGAAATTCCAAGGGATTAAGGAGTTGTATGTGAAGAAGACCAAAAAGACCAAAGTTATTTTATAACATCGTAGTACCACATATAAGTGAAATTACATAGTATTTATCCTTTTGTGTTTGTTTTACTTCATTTAGGATAATGTCTTCAGTGTTTCTACATATTGTACCATGTGTCAGAATTCGTTCTGTTTAATAGATGCATAAGTACATACTTAGTAAAATTTGCTCTTAATGGACATTTAAGATGTCTTTTACCACTTGTGATTTGCTGATAATGCCATAGTAAACTTTTATGTTTGCCAGATAAATTTGTAGAATTGGAATTATTGAGGCAGAGGACATACTTTCTTTTCTCTAGGTTTAGAAATCTCATTTGGCTTAATTGTGAATCAAGAATTTGATAACATTTCATGAAATAGAATAAGTGTTCCCTCTGCTTTCATTTTATATAGTTATAATTATTGCCAGATTACTCTTCAGAGAAGCTGTATCAGTACTATTCTAACAGTGTCAAAACCTTAGAACCTTAAACTTTAGCAATTGCTGTTTAATAGAATATAAAATTTCAAGAGTTTGCCTTAATTATTTTTTTTTCCCTAGCAATCTGTAGATACCATCTTTAAATAATTTGTACACATTAGAGTCAGGATAAATTAAATGTTTGTTACCTTAGTCTTTTAACCAGTAGTGTTTCTCTTTAGGTTCTAGCCATAAATATCCTGGGTCGTTTCTTATTGAATAATGACAAAAATATTAGGTAAGTCAACTAAAAAAATACCTTATACCTCAGGTATTATAAACTTAGTAATTTGAAGAGTGACTTTGCTCAATATTACACACACTCTCTCTGTTGTATGTCAAGAAATTCAACTGAGAATTTTTACTTTTAGTCTGGTATTGAGTTTTATATTTGAGGATAGGCTTATGGCTTAATTTTTTCTCTGGTTTACACTATAAACCAAATCTTCAAACTTCTAAAGGGGATGGTAAATATTTTAGTCATTTTGGGCCACAGGGTCTCTGAGGCAGCTATCTGTGTTAGTATGGAGTCAGCCATAGACAGTATATAAATGATGAGTGTGGTTGTGTTCAGTAAGAGTTGATTAACAAAATAGCAGAGGAATTTTGCAGGTAGGTTGTCATTTGTTGACTTCTGCTCTAAATTAAGAAGGAAAATACAGTGTTTTATGTAGCAAATCTGTCACATTTTTAGGAACTTCAGATAGGTTTTGTTTGTTTTTATGGTAGTAGAGATGGAACCCGGGGCCTTTGCACTGAGCTGCATCCCCAGATCTTTTTTCCCTACCTTTTACCCCATTCTTTGCGGGGGGAGGGGTGTCTTTTTGAGACAGGGTCTCCCTATGCAGTTCAGGCTGGCCTTGAGCTCACTTGGTAGCCCAGGCTGGTCTCAAACTCGCAACGACCCTCCTGCCACAGCCTCCCCAGTGCTGGGATCACAGGTGTGCGCTACCATGCCCGGCTAGTCTTTACTCCTTTTTTGAGACAGAATCTCATTAAATTGTCGAGGTTGGACTTGAATTTGCAGTCGTCCTACCTTAGCTTCCCAGAATGCTGGGATTATAGACATAGGCTATCAGATCCAGATAGTTTTTAAAAAATAAATAAATTGATCAATATTGTCTTTTGTTACTTCCCTATACGTATGTATTTATTTATTTTTTGGTACCAGGAATTGAACTTAGGGCTTTGGTCTTCCCTGATCCTATAGTTATTGTTTGTCTGCTATTTTTCTAATCAGAAACATTTTTCTTGTGTTAAGTATAAAGTGCAGAAGTAAATTTTGTTTCGCCCTGAATTATCTTCTCCTTTAAAAGGATTTTTAAACACACGGATCTTAAATCCAAAATTTTGTAGAGGCAGGTTGGGCATCTCAAATAAAAATAGAATACATGCATGTTAAAATAATTTTCTCTTGCATTTGGGGATTAAGGAAGTGTGTAAATTTGGAAAATTTTTGTAGGAATTGAGTCAACTACTTTTGGAAGTTTAATGGATTTGACTGTGAAAGCAGATCTAAATGCAGCTTCTTCTGTTTACCACTAGTTCAAATTATGCTCTCTTACTAAGTATGTATGTGTATATTTATTTATTTGTTTACTTGAAGACAGAGGCTTGCTATGTAGCCCAGGCTGGCCTTGAATTCTCAAGATACTCCTGCCTCGGCCTCCTGAGTACTGGAATTACAGGCATGGGCCATGAAGCCTGATTAAGCCCTTAAAAGGTTACTTTCATACTCACTAACAATCTTTACTTCTAAATTTTAAAAAAGTGTGTGCTTTCCCTTATCTATTAGACATCTTTGTTATTATTCAGGTAGGGAGAAAGTATCCTGAATTTTATTCTAGGTAAAAATAACTTTTTTCTGGATAATTTTAACTCTCTTATTCTGTAACTTTGTTTCATCCAGATATGTAGCTCTTACATCTTTGTTGAAGACTGTGCAGACAGATCACAATGCAGTACAGAGGCATAGAAGCACAATTGTGGACTGTCTCAAAGATTTGGATGTCTCAATAAAACGGTAACAAACTGAGACTTCTTCTCGGCTTAGAATTCCTAAATGCAGACAGAGAAGCAGATTGAGAGTTGTATCCCTTATGATAGTTTTCAGAGCAAGAGTGTTAAAGTTTATGTAATTATTGTATTCACAGGTAAACTTTCGCAGAGTGAATCTATTTTTAGGAAGGATTGACGAGAGGTTTAGGTCCATTAAGCATAATAGGAAATACCAAATGTACACTAAAGTTGTTCTCGGTTCTTTGATAAATACAGCAGGTACAGATAGTCTGGGCAGTTTGCTCAGCAGTGGTACTGTGCTCTGTGTGTTGGAGGATGAAAGTAAGGAGTGATCCATCGGCTGAGTGTCTTACCATGATGCTGAAACTCAATTTGCTGACAGCACACATTTTTCACAGTACTTATGACCTCGGGTACTGGAGGCGAGTGTGTTTCTTAGAATAATACTATTCTAAGAAATGACTTAGGAACGACTGCCTGAGAATGACTTAGGCAACCTCATAAAACTTAGGCATGCTCATAAAACACAAATCTCTTCCTTTAGTGGAGTAGCTCTGCTGGTTCTACTGTTAGGTCTAGAGATATTTGTAAATTCCAGCCATCCTTAGCTTCATGAACTTTTAAATCATGTAAATCATAATAAACTTTTTAAAACTCTAATTCCTAGAGTTAAAATGATCTCCAAGGCTGAGTGTGGTGGCACATGCCTGTAATCTCAGCACTCAGAAAGCTGAGGCAGGAGGAACACTGTGAGTATGTGACCAGCCTGGGCTCCTAATTAAGTTCAAGACTAGCCTAAACTACACAGTGAGATCCTGTTTCAAAAACATAAAAGACTTCTGAAATCATTGAGATGACAAACTTGATACTGAGTTCCTTTTATTTGCACAGAACATGTGCTTCAGTGCTTGGGCAATCTAAAGATAAGACCTAGACTCAGTATGTGTGCCGCCAAAGCAAGCATAAGACCTAGACTCAGTAACATCCCCTTTTTATGTATTGCTTTCAAAGGAATTTTTTTTTTTTTTTTTTTGAAACAACGTTTTGCTTTGTAGTTCAGGCTGGCCCTGAACTCACTATGTAGCCCAGGCTGGCCTCAAACTCATGGTGATCCTCTTGCCTCTGCCTCTTTAAGAGCTGGGAATATAGACGTGTGCTACCACTCCCACCTGCAAAGGATTTTAAAAGCACACTTATTCTCAGAGCAACTCAGAAAGAATAGGCAGTTACTTTTTATTCCCAATTAACAGATTCATTAAAACATAATCCCAGAGGCATCAAGTGATTTACCCAGAGCCTAGCTCTTGTAGTCTTCAGAACAGAAATCAAACCTTCTGACTCATATATTTTGTTATTTTTCTATAGTTTTGTTATTTTATTTATTTATTTCTTTTTGTCTTTTTGGTTTTGTTACGCAGTTCAGGCTGGCCTTGAATTCACTTTATAGCCCAGGCTGGCCTTAAATTCACAGTGATCCTCTGCCTCAGCCTCATGTGTGTTGGGATTACAGGGGTGAGCCTGGCTTTCTATATTTTTTACTAGGCTTTGAATTTCAAAAATAAATTTATTTCTCTTTAACAGGATAATAGAATTTTAAGTGTTCATGTCCTGGAACCTTACTTGTTTTAAATCCTGACTGTATCCTTAATAGACTGGGCCAAATTATTTACCCTTTTAATGTCTCAGTAGCCTTATATTTTCAATTCAGATAGAGGAGCACATACTTCATAGGATTATTCATGATTTTTTGGGGGGTGCGGTGAGGAGTGTCTTTTTGAGACAGAGTTTCCTTATGCAGTTCAGGCTGGCCTTGAGCTCACTGTGTCAGCCAAGGCTGGTCTCGAACTCACAACGATCCTCCTGCCTCAGCCTCCTGAGTACTAGGATTACAGGTGTGCTTAGCCATGCCTGGTGGATTATTCAGGATTAGTCCAATTAATATATGTATATTGCTTAGGCATTATATAAGAGTAGTTTTATCTCTGGGGATTGAGTTTTTGCTGTTTGTGTGTTAGCTAAAATGAAAGTATTATATACCTATCAAATTGTTATTTTTGAAAGTTCATGTGTATATATATATGTGTGTGTGTGTATATATATATCTTGAATTTTTGACCAAATATGAACAGACTCATACAGAACTTTTTTTGTATGTTAAATATTTGTCCATCTGTGTATGCATACCCTCTTCCCCTTTTTGGGGTTTGAACCCATAACCTTTATACTGACCTAGACTTCCCAACCCTTTAAAAAGTATTTCTGTAAAATTTTTGAGACAGGGTCTTAAAATTTTTAAGGTAGGACTCAAACTTAAAATATTCCTTCCTCATCCTCCCAGTGTGCTGGGATTGCAGTTGTGTGCCACCATGCTCATCTCTCTGTTGCCAGATTTGATAGGCATTGCAGAAACTCTTATTTGCCCTCACAGCACATGCCCTTTTTTCTTTTTTATGGCACTCATTTTTCCTTCAAGTTTTTGATTCAAATTTCCTACATGTCTTTTGATGTAATTGATTTGACCTCATATTTGGATGTAAGTGTGGAATACAGTAAAAGAATATGGTGAATGAATATATCACATTTTTAAGTGAAAAGTGCAGAGAGGCCTTATTATTGGTAGTAATTTTGATGATTCCTTTCTAGAGATTTTTGAAAACTAAATTTAAGCTTTATAGGATAGATTGTGTATTTTTGGTTCTTGGTATCTCTTATCTCTTAGGGTTTTTTGAAGAAAACTGTCGAGTGAAGAAGATTCACAACATGAGAACCAACTGAGATTACACGAGAATAAATCTCCTTATATGTTAAGATCGGAATCGTAGCCTTGTGCAAATACATTAAGTATTTGTCAGTGCTTGATGTTCTGAGAGATTGTACCTGGGTCTGTTTCATTGTCACTGTAAATATCTAGTTTTTTTTCTTTTTAAAATTTTTTCTCCTCTGCAAGGCGTGCAATGGAATTGAGTTTTGCCCTAGTAAATGGGAATAATATCCGAGGCATGATGAAGGAGTTACTTTATTTTTTGGATTCATGTGAGCCAGAATTTAAGGCAGACTGTGCATCTGGAATCTTTCTTGCTGCAGAAAAGTAAGATTTTATTTTTATTTTTATTGATTACAAGCTTTTTGAAAGAACTTTTTGAAACTTCTTTAAAACATGGGGGAAATGCTATAGATATCTTTAAAACCCAACATTTATTTTAAGCTCCCAATTATGTTAGCTATGGGAATGCCTTTATAGTTGGCATTTAAGTATGCCAAGACCAAATGAAATCTCCTCTATTTGTTCTTTAACCTCTCCTCTCTGATGCTGTTTATATGAAGGAAATGGGGAAGTTACAGCATCTAAATTGAAGTTTCTATGTAAAACCTTTAAGTAAGAAGTATCTCAAAATTTTGGTCTGGTGATTATTCTTTCTCTTCTTTCTACTTGAATTTAAGGGAACCAGTTCATAGTCTTGCTATTGTCTCCATCTGGGAAGTCTCTGTTCTTTATTCTTTATCCTCTTTTGCCCCAACTTTGTGATTTCTTTTCTGAGAAACCAGGATAAAGTTTCATTTCTCAGTTCAGCAATTCCTAGGACAATATTAAGGGAAATAACTGAATTTGACATATTTTATCATTTTTTTGAGAATTGTTGCTAGGTTTGAAGTTGAAATGTCTCTAAAAAACGATCACTTAAACGGAACCTAGAAAAGGCTGTAGGACAAAGTCACTGTATATAGTATAGTTTATGAGTTTCAATTTTTTTATATTGTGCCATTGTTTTTTTCAGGTATGCACCTTCCAAACGGTGGCATATAGACACAATTATGCGTGTTCTGACAACAGTAAGTAGCTTTTTCAGCCAGCCTATATTAAGTACTGGGATGGAATGAGAAATGAGACAGACTAAGCCCTTCTACCTACGTAGTTTACATTCTAGTGGAGGGGATTAGAAATTCATGGGGAGATGTGTAATGTAATGTCAGGGAGAGATAAATACTATGTAGGAAAAAAAAACCCTAAAGCAGCATGAAGGGAATAATGATGACATGTTAGGGTGGGGTATGGGGCAAATGTCCAAGTGTCTTTAAGGTAGTCAGAGAGGTCTCGCAGAAGGTAACATTAGAGGAGCGACCTAAAGTGAGGAGGAAGCCATGTGAAGATCATGGGGAAGAGTGTACTCATTAGAAGGAACACTAATTAGACCTAAGGTAGCAATAAGCTTGGCCTGCTTGGAGAGCAACAGGAAGATAAATGAAGCCAGTACAGAAAGTGAGAGGCAGAGAGTAAATTGGGGTCTGAGAGCTAGGGAAGAGGCCAGATTGTATAAGGCCTTACAGGAATTTAGATTGTATTTTGAGTATGAAAGGAGTTATTGCAAGGCTTTGAGTGACTAAATTTATTTAGGATTACTAATTCCTGTTTGAGAGTTTTTGCCCTTCTATTTTTTGATCAATAACTTAAAATTAGTAGGAAAAATCAACCACATACATAATTAATAATTTGAATAGGCAATTTACGAAAAAAGGGACATGGCTAATTAATTTCAAAAAATATTCTTAAGTAAAAGTGAGGCATGATTTTTCACCGTCTGTGTGTGTGTGTGTGTGTGTATGTGCGCGCGCGTGTGTGTGTGGTGCTGGTGATCAAACCTAGGGCTCATGTATGCCAGGCAAATGCTCTCTCACTAAGCTACATCCACAAGCCCCATACAGTACTGTTTTTGGCTGCTGGGTCTTGCTGTGTTGCACAGGCCGCCCTTAAACTCACAGTCCTCCTGCCTCAGTCTCCCAGATTACAGGAGTATACCACTATACTGGCTCCTGTCTTACTAGGCTTGGTTAGAAAGTAGAGAATCAAGCAGCACTCTTTACAATGGTGTAAAAACTGTGCAGTCTTTTCAGGGTACACTTTGGTTAGCATGTAGCAAAAGTCTTAGATTATACCTTTTGATTCATTAATTCTATTTTTGGGACTTTAACCTGGGGAGGGGACAAGTTCATTAAAGTGTACATACAAAAGTGTTCTTCCTAAACTTGTTTAGATAAGGGGAAAACTGTAATCAACTAGTAGTCCCCAAAGGGGAGGTGGTGAAGTAAATTATGAAATATGGTAGGAAGCAGTGATACCACTTAAATTAAATTTTAAAATATATTTGTTGCATGGAATTCTGTCAGGGACATACTAATTTCTAGTTTGCCTATGATTTAAATTTTTAGGAAGTTACACATTAAATTTGATTAATAATGGGGGAAATTATATTCTCAAAACACAATGAATCAGTATGCTGTAGTTTTTTCGTGAAGCCCAAAAGAAGGGAGGAATGAGAGTCCTGAAGAAAAATGTATATGAAGATTCAAAACCCTTTCTTTTATGTTTGTATTCATTTTTCTGTTTAACTTGTATTTTCTTCTTACAACTGTATGATTTTCCTTCTTTAGCCTCTTGATGAACTGTGTTATACTAGTTGCTTTCGAATGTTGAGCCAGCTTTCCATTCCTGGAATAGATCTCCTGTGATCATGGTGGTTTCTTTCTGTTTTTAAATACGTTGTTGGATTTGGTTTGCTCTGTATACATCTGTGTCTATATCTCTTTTTCCCTTTTTCTTTTTCTTTTTTTTTTTTTTTTTTTTTTGGGTTTTTCTCCGGTACCGGGAACTGAACTCACGACCTTGCGCTTGCCAGGCAGGCGCTTTTGCCGCTGAGCTAAATCCCCAGCCCCTCTTTTTCTCTTTTAATGTAGGGATTAAACCCAGGGAGCTCAACTATTTCCCATCTCTTTTGTAAAATTTTCTTTTGAGACAGGGCCTTGCTAAGTTGCCCAGGCTGACCTCAAATATGTGGTCTTTTTGCCTCAGCCTCTTGAGTAGTTAGTATACAGGAACATGCCACTGTGCCCAGGATTGTTTTGCTAATGTTTTGTTGTGGATTTTTGTATTTTGGTTCATGAAAGACACTTCTCTATAGTTTTCTTTCTTCTTTGACCCACATTTTAATTTTTTTTTTTTTTTTTTTTTTTTTTTTTGCAGTACCGGGGATTGAACTCACAACCTTGCGCTTGCCAAGCAGGCGCTTATGCCACTGAGCTATATCCCCAGCTCCGCCACATTTTAATTTAGAAGTGTGTTACTATAATGTCTAGTTTTGGGGAGATTTTCTAGGTATCTTTGCATTACTAGTACTGAGTTTAATGCCATTGTGGTCTGTGAAGATAGTTTGTATTAATTTTGTCCTTTAAAATTTGTTAAGATAGTTTTTATGGCCCAGAATGTGGCGTGTGATGGGTTTGAGAAAGTGTGCTCTGCTGCTGTGTGGTGCAGCAGTTATCACTAGACCTGCCTTTGCTTTAAAACACTGCTTTCTTTAGTTAGGGACAAATGTAAATTCAGTTACACCAAAAACCTGGCTTTTAGCTTCACCATTTCCATTTGACCATTTCCCAAACTTTTCCTTCTCTCTTTATGTTCGTTAACAGGAATAAACAGTCCAATGACAAGGGGTTTGTTTTTTCCTTTCCAAAATATGTAAAGTTAGGCCTGGTCTCAGTCTTACCAGTTCTCTGAGATTGACCAAGGTTGGCCATTGTCAGGCATGGGTTCTACTGCTTGTGTGTTCTGTGTAATCCAGTTATAATGCTCTAGTAAGGCCAAGATTTATTTTACTCCTAGGTTAAATAAATTTTACTTTGTCCTATAATTTTAGGTACTATCTTAGATTTTGCTAGTCAGGAGTACAGTTAAAGAGATTACATTAAAAACAGAAGCGTGGATAAAAGGACAGTGTGATTATCCCCTTTGCACTGTTTGTGTATACGCTCCTCACTTCTCCCAGAGTAATAGGACTACTATAGCTTGTCCATATGTTTTATTTATTTATTTTTTTGGTACTGGGTATCAAACTCAGGACCTTGCACTTGCCAGGCAGGTGCTGTGCCCCTGAGCTATATCCCCGGCCCCTTCCATACTTTTTGCCACCAGTGTTGAGAGTTTTGGGAAGGATATTATGAAGTTCCCAAACAATGTACTTCTTAAATTTTTAGAAATTTAGGCCTTGTGTGAGCAGAAAAGATCTTTTTTGATTCTTTCAACTGTTCTATTTTAATGTGGACGAGCAGATGCTTTTATTTTTTGATAAAAATTTTAAATATTTAAGTAAGACAGACACGTTTGAGGTTTAAGGGGGCCTATGTGTCAGAACCAGGTTTATCTCTGAGAGGAGGTTTTTTAGTCATTTCTTCAAGAACAATTGGTAAAACAGTTCAAACATTTGTTATCATTGTAGTATATTTCTAGGAGTAACTTTGTACATTTCCTTTCAGGCAGGAAGTTATGTTCGTGATGATGCAGTCCCCAATTTGATACAGTTAATAACTAATAGTGTAGAGATGCACGCTTATACTGTCCAGCGCTTGTATAAAGCAATTCTTGGTGATTATTCTCAAGTAAGTCATCTGTTCTTTCTGCTTGGGGAAAATTAATCTTTATTTTCCTGGTATGTCATTATTACTGACACTTTGTATGTGCTAAGTTTTGACCCTTGTAATTAGTTGACCTGTGATTTTCATTGTGTTTTTTGGAAAATTGAACTCTGACTTTCTTTGACAGCAACCTTTGGTACAAGTGGCTGCATGGTGTATAGGTGAATATGGTGATCTTCTTGTATCTGGCCAATGTGAAGAGGAAGAACCTATTCAGGTACCCCTTGTCACTCTTGGTTACAAAGAGGAGAAAAGAATGTTTTTGCTTGTAGGAGTATAGTGTTTAATAGAAGGTTGAGTTTGGTTCCTTGAAAATTTAAAAAAAAAGTAATAATAGAATTATATTGAGAAATGTCCCATTTTTGGAGATGGAACATACTGAATCATTGTGAGATTTTAAAACCCTTCAGTGGGGTTGAGGGTGTGCAATTCAGTGGTTGAGAATGTGTAGCCTTGGCTTCAGTCCCAGCACCAGAAACAGATCAAACAGCAATTCTACCTTTCTTTAGGCCATACTCCTTTCCCTAACAGACTGAATTACAGTTTCTCATACCCTCTGACTGGTAGGCAAGAAGAAATGAGGTAGTTACCCATGTTTCCATTTGCTGATTAAAAGACTGACTTCTGAGAAAGTTGTGGCAACAATTCTTTATAAATCTTTTACTTTTCTTTCTCTGCATCTGGCACTTAATACTATAATATGCCTCTCAGTCCTCAGCGGTTATGTCCCCATTTTCTATTCTTTTTACCTCATTTTTACCTGCTTTTGATTGATGTAGCAGCTTTGAGCAGTTGTCCTGGCAGAAGCACAGGTTGTATTAGAGGCTTTTGTAATGGTAGGCAGCATCCTCTGGCTTGATAATTAGATTTAGGTATTCACTGTTCGCATTTTCTGCAGGAGCTTTTTTTTCTTTTTCTTCCTCAGGTAACAGAGGATGAAGTGTTGGATATTTTAGAAAGTGTACTAATCTCTAACATGTCCACCTCTGTGACACGAGGTTATGCCCTCACTGCCATCATGAAGCTTTCAACTCGATTCACCTGTACTGTAAAGTGAGTACTGAGGCAAAGTAGAGCTGATAGGTTGTTTTGTAATTTTGAAAAATACTTTATTGTGGCAAATTTCAAGCATAAACAGAAGAACAGGGAATAATGAAACGACTTTGTATTTGCTTACTATCCCATGCTCACTTCATTTCATGGTTAATCCTTTGCTCTCTTGCATTATTCTACCCTATCATGGATTATTTTGAAGGTAAACAGTTTTGGGGACTTCTTAATTGTTATTATTTGTTATTTCCTTATATGAGGGGGTTGATTTATTACAGTATTTTTAGATTTCTGAATAGGAATATAGTCATGAACGTTTTGGTAATTAAATCTTTAAATTCTGCGGTTTGCTGTTTTGAATAAAAGTTAGTTCTTGAGTATTTTGTAGTTAATCATATTTAAAGCAAATACAGTTTTACATTTTCTACTTCATTTTTTAATGTAAGGGATTAGGGCTTGTAAGAAACTGCATTTTTAAGAGCCAGGTGTGGTGGTGCACACCTGTAATCCCAGCATGGGGGAGGCTGAGGCAGGAGGATCGTTGCGAGTTCGAGGCCAGCCTGGGCTACAAAATGAGCTCAAGGCCCGCCTGAACTGCATAGCAAGATCCTGTCTCAAAAAGACCAAAAAAAAAAAAATGAAACTGCATTTTTGATTTGCTTTCGATCGTGAATTAGAAGAATTTGGGGTTAGCATTCCACTGCCAAAATTTATTTTAAAGTTTAATAGTAAAAAGGAGAATGAGCTAGGTATGGTGGTACATGCCTGTAATCCTAGCACTAGGGAGGCTGGGGCAGGAGGATTGCGAGTTTAAGGCCAGCCTAGAACTATAAAGTGAGTTCAAGACCAGCCTAGATTGCAGTGTGAGACCCTGTCTCAAAAAGCAAAAAAAAAAAAAAAACCCCAAATTTTTTTAAAGATATAAAAAGGAGAATGAACCATACACATTTTTCTTACGGTAAAGTAATAATTGGTACTTTTGTTTAGAAAGTTTTAGGGTATTGGATATTTAACAGACAGATCTAACGTTATAATCAGAATATATAATAGTGACTTATACAGATGAAGATAAATACTGTTTTGTTTTTGAAAAATTATGTAAATTAAGAATTGAGTATTTTCAGGATTTTAGCCAGAACTGATTTAAACACTTTCCCTCATTGTTTATAAATTGTCTTTGGGTATTTGATTTCATTTGATTTCCTTTTATCCCATAGCCGAATTAAAAAAGTGGTTTCCATCTATGGAAGCAGCATTGATGTGGAGCTCCAGCAGAGGGCAGTAGAATATAATGCACTTTTTAAGAAATATGACCACATGAGGTGAGCAGAAGAAATTAAGCAATATATACAGCGTCTTAAGATTCTGAATAAAGTGTCTAAAGCAGATTCACTCCTTGCGCTTAATTAATTGGAACTTACAATCCTATTCTCGTTAATTGACTCTGCTTTGCTTTGTATTCTTCCTCATGTACAAAGAAATAACACAGTTCTTTCTACTCCAACACCCCCCATCCTTTCAGTATGTAAAGTTTGCATCATTTTCCATTTTATTTGTTTAATAAGTAAGAGTTGTAAATTTTTTCAAGAGAAATCATCTTTTTCAAATCTCATTACTATTAACATTTTGATGTTTGCTATTTTTTTCTTTTGTGCAGAATCTATCCTCTTAATTAGAGACTGTTAATATTTATTAATTTACCTCTGTTTGATCCTGGTCTCTGTACCACTGAAATACATGTTTTGGGATTTAGGTGGACAGTTTGTTTATTCAAGGTTCTTGGCCTGCCTTTAATCCGGTTGGGAATTTAGGTCATGTACTCTTGTAATCCACCGTGTGTGTGCACGTGTGTGTGTGTGTGTGTGTGTGCATGCGTGTGCACGCACACACACACTAGCAGAGTGGTTTTCCATATTAGGCTTAAAAGTAGGAAATAGTGATTATTTTGGGTAGGGAATGTAAGTTCACTGCCTAGAATTTAACCACTTCAGATTCTTTTAGGTCAGCTCTACTCGAGAGAATGCCTGTCATGGAAAAGGTGACTACAAATGGCCCTACTGAGATTGTACAGACAAATGGAGAGACAGAACCTGCTCCACTAGAAACAAAACCACCACCCTCTGGGCCACAGCCCACCAGCCAGGTAGCCTTTCACTTCTTTCTCTGGGGCTCCTGGTGATCTTATAGTCCTCTATAGCTTATTTCTTAGCTGATTCTCCTTGGTGTTTTTGAATTAGGTGATGATTCCTTTCCTTAATTTTTAAATATTAAAAGAGCTTTACATTAGTTGTAGGTTAGACAAATAACTGATGAATTAAAGTGTTATTTCCTTGATTAGGCCAATGATTTATTGGATTTGTTGGGAGGAAATGACATAACACCTGTTATTCCAACTGCACCTACAAGCAAACCAGCGTCTGCTGGTGGAGAACTTCTCGATTTGCTGGGAGACATCACCCTTACAGGTGAGGCCATTGTTCAGTTTTTGGATAGGGATTGAGACCTTAGGGAAAACCACACTGACTACAGCGTAGACTGTCAGCGCATAAATCAGCTGAAGATGGAAGAGACTAAGTGAGAAGCAATACTCATGACATCTGGGCTATAAGCTGCCGTGCTAACTAATGCTCTAAAGGTAACTCAGAGATTGCTTAAAGGCTAACATTTAATTTGGGAAGGATAAATTATTCATAGTATTCTAAGATACCTAGATAGATACGCTCAGAAAGAATATAACCCAAGTTACCTCTGTCTTTATTTGGTGTCTTAAGACATTAGATTTTCTTCTGTTCATAGTTAAATTTTCAATAGCTATGACCATTTCTGGTGAGATAGTAACCCTAATACTTACCTTTCTTTCTCTCCCTCACCTTTCCTATAATTAAAGCAACCAAAGTAGAAAATCATCTGTATATAATTCAAACATTCTTTTTCATTTAAGAATGTTTTTATCTTTGTTCATATATAGTAGTCATTTGTAATTAATGTGTGCAGCAGTACTACAATAGGTGGCATCTGCAGTTGAAGGAAAAAAAAACAGAACAAGAAGTTACAACATATGATCTCAAGTAGAAAACAGCCGTACAATGAGGATATTTAATAGTTATGTAGGCTTGCAGTCACAGGCTAAATGATTTTTACTTTCTAGGTCCCTAGAACTTATTTTTTAATGTCCTAACAAAGTTTCAAAATGCTACTTGTGTACTTTTGAGTTTTACATGTAGTCAGTTTCAAATCCTCAGATGTTAAAGGTATATAGGATAACTGGAAAAGTACATTGATAAATAGTCTTCATAATTGTAATTCTAAATGGCCAATATTTTATCAAGAAGTTTGCACTATTACTGGGTGTGATGGAGCATGTATAATTTTCAGTACTCGGGAGCCTAAGGCAGGAGGTTCACTGAGAATTTGAGGCCATCCAGAACTACAGCTAGACTGTCTCAAAAAAGCCAGAAAAAGCCCCGAAGACACACAAAAAAAATTATGCCGTTCATGCTGGCCTTGAGCTCACTTTGTAGCCCATGCTGATCTCAAACTCACAAAGATCCTTCTGCCTCAGCCTCCTAAGTACTGGGATTACAGGTGGTTGCCACCATGCCCAGCTCTGGGCATTTTGTTTGTTTCTAGATTTTTTTTTTTTCCCCTAGTTGCTTCAACAAGTATTCTTGTCTTGGTTTGTCCTTACTTTTTGATTGCTTGGTCTAAATTACTTATTGTTTTCTGAATCTGGTCAAAATATGGACGATCAGTACTTATCTCATGAATATTTTTGAGGATTACTGACCCACTCAGTGCATGACACATAGTAACCACTTGGTAAATACTACTTAGCCTTTAATTTATATGTCCACCAGTTTCACTGTACTCTCATAAGAGTTTATATTATTCCTTTTTAAAAGCTCTAATTGGTGAAATACTGGAATTATTACTGAATTGATTTTTTTTCAGTCATGGGGAATGTGTACTTCCATGTGTGCATTACAGATGAATTTCCTTTTTGAACTTTTAAAAAATAACCTTGACTCAATTAGTATGAAGTTTTAGTATTTTGTTTTTGTTCTTGCTTCTTTTTCTAGTATCATGTATAAATATTGCTGGGTGTAGTGGCACACACCTGTAGTCCCTGCTACTTGAGCGGCTCAGGTGGGAAGCGAGCAAATTCTAGGCCAAATTCTAAGTCTTGTTAAGTGTGGGCGACTTAACAAGACTTTGCCTCAAAGTAAAAAATTCTAAAAAGTACTGAGGAATTTACCATCCAGGGCTTCATTCACGTTAAAAATACATGCTAATCAATTTTCAAGCTGGTTGTGGTGGTACGTGCCTATAATCCCAGAACTGTGGGAGGTGTGTGTGAATCCCTAGCTTTAATCCCCTCTGCTGCCAAAACAAATAGACAAAAAGTTAAATGTTAAAAAGCCTAGGCTTTCCTTTCCTTATTCATAGTGTACGTGTGTGTTCTTTTCACTCGACTGCTGAGCTATACTATATAGCCTCAGCCCTCACAATGTGTTTAAAACATACTTTTCTATTTTCTTTACATTCTTTAAGTTAAATTTTTGAATTTTAGGTTCTTTAATCTGTCTTTACAGCTATGTATTATTGTACTATAATTTAAACCAATGGATACATGAAAATAGATTGATTATGGTTCTGTGATTGAATCTAGGGGCCTCGTGCAGAGGTAGTTCCCCAGCCCTTTTTTATTTTTTAGTAGAGGCAGTGCCTTGTTAAGTCACCAAGTTGACTGGGTTGGTCTTCTGCCTCAGCCTCCCAGAGTTGTGGGATTACAGGTATGCGCCTCTACTCCCAGCTTAAAAATAGATTAGTATGTGTTTTTAGAAAGTCTGGAGTTGTACTTTATAGGAGAAAAGAAGTAAAATTTGAAGGAGTTTGGGACTTACGTGTTGTTCAAATATATATGTTGGCTAGCTTCTGATTTTCTCTGAAGACACATTTCTGTTTTTTCCCCTTAGTACTGGAGATTGAACCCCAAGGCCTTCTCACTCAGTTACATTTCTGCTGATTTTTTTTCATCTTTTTGAGACAGGGTCCCACAAAGTTGCTAAGTTACTTAGGCTGGACTCCAATTTATAATCTCTGCCTCAGCCTTCCAGGGTTCTAGGATTATAGGCATGTGCCACCATGCTCACCTCTAAAATTGTTTGAAAATGGGAATTGGTAGGAAAAGTTCTAGGTTAGATTTATGAATATTTCTTTGTGTATAGTTAAGTCCCAACTTACAAACATTCAAGTTATGGACCTTCACAGATGTGAATGGACCTCGCATCTGTTTTTTTATGCTTTACATTGTATATTTGTGTCAAAGGTGTGGAAGACTCACGTTGTCAGACTTACGAATGAATCTGACTTACATTCTCCTGGAATGGAACTTGTTCATAAGTGAGGAACTTACTGCACTTCATTGACACTCTTTGGTGTTCTCATGTGTTTTGCTTTTTGTGCTTTGTATAATCCGTATATTTCTACCCTCTTTGGTGATTTTTAGTATATTGGTCTTGTTCCCCTATCTTTAGTATCTTTTTTTTTTTTTTTTTTTAAATGAAAGTATCCTGGCTTTAAAAAAAAATTTCTTTTTGGTCCTTCTTTATTTTAATATGTTAGTTCTTTCCTTGGGAGGGTTGCTGGAATTGAACCCAGATCCATGCATGTGTTAAGCATGTTCTCTACCATTGATCTATACCCTAAATTCTTTTTTAGTTTATTTTTAGTTAATTTCATGAGTAATTGAAAGCTCTTTACTTTGAATACTTTAATTGAATACTCTTTACTTTGCCGAATTTTCTTAGGCCTTTTCTTAGAATCTTGGGTTCTTTCAATTCATGGTCATATTTATCCTATGGCTTGCCTTCTATTGTATGATCTTCAGCTTGTTCTTACTTGAGAGGAGCAAATAAAAATGATAATACGGTGATATTCTCCCACTTTATATCACTTCTCCCAAGATATGTGTATTAAAGTTTTATTATGCAACATTTAATACCAAAAAAATTCATTAAATGTCTTGATCTACCTAACTTGTGAAATAAGATATTGTTAAGAGGGTTGGTTTTTCTTATGTGGTTTGTTTTCTTCCTCATCCCATACCTTTTCAAAAATTTTTTACTTTTTGGATTGCTTTTTTGTGCATATTAATCGCATGTTTTGCCATTGAGTGCTTTGCCCCAGGCCCCATTTCCTTATGACTCCAGAGCTAACTGCTGGTTTTCCTGAAGCTATGCTTAACATTGGCATACACCATTTCTCCGCATTTCTTGATACAATATGTAGTAGTTTTGCCAATTTTTACTTTAGAAATAGTGTCTAAACTGCATAGTGGATGCTTGAGTGTAATCCTAGTGCTGTGGGAGGCTGAAGCAATATTATAAATTCAAGCTCAGCCTGAGCAATTTAGTGATTTAGTGAAACCCTGTTTCAAAATAACTAAAAAGTCTACATCTATACCATTCTGAATGCGCCCCATCTTGTCAAAATAATTAAAAAATTTTAAAAAGAGATAGGGATGTAGCTCAGTGAGAAGGCCCTAGGTTCAGTCACCCTTACTGCAAAAAAAAGTATCTAATTGAATGTATTCTAACTTTATTAATAAACATTGTATTTGTGTGAATAATTCATGATATGCACATTTTTTTTTTTTTTTTTT